ACTTAATTAGAGAATTTTTCTAAAATAAAAGTGGCCTAAGTTACTCCTTATTACATCAGCTACGAAAATCCGTCGGAACAAAAAGACAGACAAAAATTGTAAAAAATATTATTTTGGTATATATACCGTATTTATATTCATGTGCATGTAGTAAAAAATGGATATTTTAATATTACAAAGAGACGTACATAGATAGATGAACAAAGGTATTATTACATATTGCCATATATTATAGTATATATATATATATATATATATATATATATTTATGCATGTATAGAAATCGCCATTGTGTAGTATTAAATGACTCATAGAATAGTCATAGTTCTAGGTACTTTGTCTTTATATCACAATACATCTAAATCTTATTTATTGTAACTCCATAATTTACAGCTAGTTAGCTAGTTTGTAATATACATATAGAAGTTCAAACGGAGATCGAAATTACGACGGCCAATAAATAATTTCTATATTACCATAAGTCCTTCCGCGGCTTTGGAGTGCCACCTGCACTCGCACCCTATCGTCCGGTGAAGCTGTAAAGGCCAGCTACGGCATTAGTAGTCTAAAAAAAAGCATGCGCACGGGTAGGCGTGAGTCGTATGTATGTATATATTATATATATAAAAATCTGCACTTGCTATTTTTTTAAATGGGATGTTTGGGCATTGTCTGTGACCCTGTATGCTGTATATATCTATTTAAAAATTAGGGACCTAGGGACTAATAAATAGGGACCTCGAGGGACAGAGATTGAAGGATATTCTTAGTAGTTTTAAATATATACTATACTTTCCATTTAAGTATACATATTTAAAAGAGATTGATGTTAAGCTAACACACATCAGTTGTTATGTCCAGTGAGGGATCTTCATTCTTCTTGTGATGAGACAGCTTTCCGAATACGGAAAGTGAGTCTCATTCAGCTTACAATTAATCCTTCTATCATCATACCTTTTTTAAAGCAATATTAGTACAGTACAACATTGTTTACTTGACTTTGATTTTTTAATGCGTAAAATTTTGTCAAATAATTAAAAAAAAATCAGGAGTGGACAATCACTTAGGGGTATGGGAAATAGATACCAGACCTACTGTATATGCATATAAAATTTCATAAAAATCGGTCAAGCCATTTCGGTGGAGTATGTTAACTAAAATTGGGACACGAGAATTTATATATACTTATATTCCGTTAGTGACAAATAAAAGGACAAAACAATAAATTTATTTAGCTAACGACAACGAAAGTGTCCCATCAAGTCAAGAACTGTCCCTTCACCATAGAGAGCACTGACCCGGTCAAGTTCAAGGTTACGTCTATTCGGTACCATCTGTACCGACTCACGAGCAGCGTTGCGTGTATGGTAGGTGGTAGGGTTGGCAATAGTCAGAACTCCTTTGTTTTGTACACCTTTCGTTTATAATAATAACTATCTTATGACTGCTTCCACAAATATAATAATCTTTATATAGTATAAAACGATGTCGCTTGCGCTGTCTGTCCGCTTAGATCTGTTAAACAACGGATTTTAATGCAGTTTTTAGCAATAGATAGAGTGATTCAAGAGGATGGATTATATGTATAATAGTTTTAAAAAAAAGTCTGCTCTAATTTGTCATGTGTTTTATTCTATACGTTATGAGCAATTAGGATAATTGCTCATAACAGAAGCGTAGCGTGCCTTGACGGGGCCCCGTATAAAAAAATATTTGGGGGCCCTTACGAAGTGTAAAGATTTCAAATAATAGGAAAAAAGTTGCATAAAATTAAAAGAAATATTTATTCATCATAATTCTATCTTTCAATTTTTCCGATTTTTTTTCCAAACAATTCAAATTAAATATACACTCTCGTTGGCTTTTTTGGACAAACTGATTTATAAAATCATTTATAGCTGATGATGATTATAGTTTTTCTAAAGTTCCTGCCTCATGGACAAGTTCGTTGAAGTTGTAGTCCGTTCTAGGTGCATGAAATCTGTGTTACACTCTTACACTTATTTCCTTGAGTTCTGGCGTCAGTGCAGTTAAGAATTGGTTTCGTACTTTTATGGTACTAAGGAAAAAAAGTTTAGAGTAAGTCCTGACCAGGACTAAACAACTGTTACAAGAAAAAACTTCCTGAAGTTTTGGCTTCCTGTAATAGTTGTTTTTAGAGATGGTAACCCTAGACGTGTATTGCATAGTATAGATGTGTTCTTGTGGTTGACGAATGTAATTTCCTAAATTAGATTTGACAGTTGTCGTATTTTTTTTTAAATTAATTTATTTTTAATATTTATGACTATGTACAGGAACTTAATGAACTTACTACGTTTTCGTCATTCACGACAATTGTATTGGTTTTGTTTCGACAGTTTGTTCATCACTTTTGTAAATTATATAGTTTTTTATTACTTTATCTTAGGGAAAAGACTATTATCTACAAAGTACGGTAGGTGGAGTGCTAAGGTAACGCCATCTATGTTACCAACGAAAGAAAGTATTGCTTCTTTACCGATGTACGCTTACAGTACACAAAGGAGTTGTGATACATAAGTTTACCATTATCATAAAAAAAAAACAAAAGGTGCTCTTACACGGTACTCCATCCAAGGGATTGCCGCACTTAAAATTTCTTAACCTCAGTAATTGCCGATAGAGTAACTGAGTTGTGTACACATATTGTTATGGTTTTCCTTGACCAACCTAGTAGTCTCTTATTATAAGCTGATCCCAAACTGAGAGGTCACCAGTTCACGAATAATACGTGATCTTATTCGCTCCCAATACTGCAGGTACTATTAACTTGTACCTGCAAGGAATTTTTAGTAATGTGGACTAATTACCACATTGCAACAATGCATTATGCAGGTTGGTCAGGTTGACCTCCTCGCGAACCCCCTGCCCCCTGCCCTTTGGAAACCATCGTAAATTTATCTAACTTCAAACAATCATACTCATGAATACAAATGGTTGCACCATACAAGGAATCAAAACGACCATCGGAATTAAAGCGTTGTGCTAAACCGCTAGACAACCACTTAAAGTTTTAAATTTCCTTAAAAGAACTATTTTTTGCTGTGATAATATTGACTCGTAAGAGTATCATCATCATCATCATCATCGCAGCCCGGAAGACGTCCACTACTGGACATAGGTCTCCTCCAAAGATCTCCACGACGATCGGTGCAGTGCTGCTCGCATCCAATGCCTTCCAGAGATCTTGACCAGATCGTTGGTCCACCTTGCTGGAGGCCTTCCCGCGCTGCGTCTTCCGGTCCGTGGTCGCCACTCAAGGACTTTATTGCCCCAACGGCCATCTGTCCTACGAGCTATGTGCCCTGCCCATTGCCACTTCAGTGTCACATTTCTTCGGGCTATGTCGGTCACTCTGGTTCTTCTGCGGGCTCCTCATTTCTGATTTGATCACGCAGAGTAACTCCGAGCATAGCCCTCTCCATTGTAAGAGCATAGTTAAGGATAATTTAACTTCAATTGCTTAGCCAATTGCGCGAAGTGCCGACAAGGACGACCTTTGAGTTTATTAACCTAATCGTATTGACTCTCTTTATATAATTATATCCGGTCGATCTGACAAACCCAGTAGCTAGTAGTGCCAATTTGGCACTTGAAGAGGCTTATTGGGATAGTCAAGTGTCTTATTGGTGTTTTAAAAGGTAGTAGTACTTTTATAAAGAATATGTAACTTTACTGTGGTCTGTGGGTAAACTGTAAATAGATTAATATTATTCGTTTATAGCTTTACTAAATGTCAATAATAAACATAATAAATTCTCTAATTGCTATATGTTTAAATTTATTATGGTCGAATTTCGACCACTAGTGTAAGGAAATTGACCAACCAGCTGAGTTTCCGTACTCTTAAGGTCACGGTCCACTCCAGCTTGACGATTCTGATGCGGAAGGGTGTGAGCCAATGTCGGGCGTGAGTAGAATCTGAAGCAATACAAATATATCACGTACAGTAGTGATTAGTCAGCTTTGCATCTATAACGGGTTTGAATGTTGGCGTGTTGGTTATTGTTTGGTCAAATGTTTGGTTTTACAATTGGCAAGTGCGAAGAAACCGGCTAAGGGCGTGCTCATTGTATTGGGAAGTTTCAGAAATGATACGTCGATTCAGCAGTATTTGATTTTTATTCCTTTTTCAAATTACACTCCACATAAATTGTGTCGCTGTATTTCACGTCTGGTCCTCTCGGTTGTCTTGAACAGAAAGAAATAAGGCCGTTCCCTCCTATTCCCTTTCTCTTTGTCTATTGATGGCGTCACCATAATATTGACGTCACTAACATCACGTGACTGACTATGATTCTAAATTTAAAATGTAAGTAACAAATTAGTCAAATGAGTGTTCTTTATGTATTGAAGCTAACAATTGTAAGGATTCGTATCTTAACATGACATTTTATATCTGTCGTGTATGAGGAACCCACGCAGTTACAAAGTCTGCGTCCGTATCAAGGATACAAATATATAAATCATACAAATACATAAATATATTTTTTTTCGTAAATACATAGATATTAGTGAAATACAATATACAGCTCGCTCAATATACAAATATAAATCTAATATAAAAAGAATTTGCATAGCAGTAATTAGAATTAGAACTTTAATAATGTGTAAACTTATACATAAAATTTTTTTAGGGTCGAGAATCGCAAATCGCGGTTTCGCGGTTTTATCGCTTAAGTCTTATTTTAACTAGTTAAAACAACATTTAAGGGACAAATGCCTTTTGCCCCTACATTTTAAATTAATTCTTCTTCTTTTGCCTGGCCTTGGTCCTATTTATTCGGGGTCGGCTCTTCGTACATTTTTAATTAATTGTGGTCGAATTTTGACCATTGGCCGACCACTAGTTAAAATAAATTGATTAAGCGATAAGGCTGCCTTTTGTACTTACATACTCTATATATTCTGTTTTTTTGTATTTTTTAAATGGTTCAATAAAGAGTAATAAATAAAATATCGATTTATTTTATTTCCAGATACAATGACATACTTGAATGCGTTTTGCGTGTTAATATGCGCGTGCGCATCGAGTGCACTGCGCGTTGGCGTCGGCATAGCTGACGTCACCGGCCCACCCGCTGAGATCGGATTTGTGAGTATCTAGAACCCTTTTTTTGGACTAATCTAATGCTGTTGGCCGCAGCTGGCCTTTACAGCGTCACCAGACAATAGGGGGCGAATGCAGATGGCACTCTAAACCCGCGGAAGGACTTTTGGAGCGGCTGAAAGCAACTCCTGCCTGACGGATACGACTTTAGTTTGATGGAATCGCTAGGGTTTCGAACCACGGCTCAGGACGTCGTATTTCGATTCCCGTTTGAATTGGACGGGGGATCGATCGGAAGGGATCTAGAATCCAAGTGGTCTTGGCAAGTGCGGTTTCAGAGGAGCTTCCTCCCGCGTACACTTAGATTGTGGGTTGAACTACCTGCTGAAGTTTTCTCGAGAAACTACAGTATGGGGTTTTTTTAGATGGATATATTAAGGGTCGGCAATGCGCACGTGATACCTCTGGTGTTCTTGGCGTCCATATTTTATGATAAAAGTTTACCATTAGAAAGGTAAGCCACTTTCGTGGTATAAAAAATCCCGTAATTTGACTACCTAATCCTTTCTTAATGGATTCAATTCTACTGGTATAGCATGGGGGTTTTCAAGATGTGTAGATTAAGGTTTCGTAAGGCTGGACTTCTCACACTTATCACCCCTGGTGTTTATAGGCTAGGGTAACATTTTACCATCAGATGGGCCGAATACTTGTTTGCCAACATCGTAGTATAAAAAAAATCTCCATTAAAGAGAAGCTTTTTAATTATGAGATGATTATTTTGCCGTAGATAAGGTTAAATGCCGCGTCACTAATGATTGTCGGTGGTTTTGGTGATTTAATAAATAAATAACCTTGGACGTTATTTTTATGTAATTGGAATGGTAAACAAGCTGTTGGGGAATGGTAACTGTCGCCTATATACATGAACAGGGCTACGGATATCCCGTTATGATGTGATGACCGTGATACCAATCATGCATTGCTATTTCAAAAGACTAAGATATCATGCTTTTACTGTAATTTCACTATCTCCTCTCAACCGTTCTCTATTCACTATCTCTCTCAATACTGACAAGTTGACAAAAGCAAAATATTATACAGTTGGAATAAGTAAGGACTGAGGTACGCAGATGATTTTGTATGTGATATACATTGATTTAACATATTCTTTTAAAGGACCATTAAATCGTATAACAAGCTAAGTTGCAATTATTCAGAGTAGGATAAGTACAAACCTACTGTGAATACTAAACAACTGACGCATTATATAATTTTTTTTTGGAAACATATACATACCAATACTGTAATCTACCTGAATAAAACAAATATATGCTCCTGAACACTAATATTACTCATAACATTACTGCGGGTACTGAACTCACGACCATCAGAATATGAGGTAATGTGTCAAATTGGTACACCTTTATTTACGCAACCATTAACCAGCTTGATCAAGAACTGTAAATAAATGCATGCGCTTTATTCAGCGGCTTAATCGATCCTCTTAAATTCATCTAGGAAGCGTAGTTAGATATGATATCACATTATTCTGATAATAAAGATATCTGTTTGCGCTGAATTTACCATCCGAGTGGCAAAGACAGATAAGGCAATGTGATTAGATCCAGTTACTGCGAGAGGAGGCCTAATATCGCTTTCCTCTCTACGAATAACAAGTTTCTTTCTTCTTTCTTTATCCACATCTAAGATTTTTTAAGTACTTTATCTAAGTGGTCTGGTAGTTTTTAACATGGATTTAGTATCTGTTAGTTGTGGGTTCAATTCTCGCAAAAATATAGGGTCGTATGTATATTTAATGCCAGATTAAAATATATTTGTCCAAAAAATAAAAATATAATGTTAGGCGTGGACAACCCTTATGACTTAGGGGTATTACCAATAGATAGTAGCCGATTTTCAAACCTACTGCATATAAAATTACGTAAAAATCGATCAAGCCGTTTCGGAGGAGTATTTTAACTTGTTAGGTAACTAACATTGTGACACGAGAATTTTATATATGCTAATGCTTATAACTAAAAAGAAAAATAATTCCTGTACTACTGTATTGCAGTGTCGTTCAAGGCCACGTAATTGTTCATACACCCTTTTGCAATTGATAATAACCTTGGTCATTTGTTTGCTGTTAGCCACTACATGCCATGTTACAGTGTTGCCAGATGGCTGTCTGGCGATCCCCTCAAATCTGTACAAAATTCAGGTTTTGAAGAAACAGAAACAAGTCTGTATCCTGACGACCTTACTGTAGGCCGCTCTATAACATTTGGTCAGTTCTTGTGTTAATTATTCTTCTACCGTTTCGCAGAACAGTAACTCTTCATTTTTTATACGTACTATGTGTGGCATATTTCAGATATCTTCTTCGTTTTTTGGACATTTGTTTGCTGTTAGTCACTACCTGCCATGTTACAGTATTGCCAGATGGCTGTTTGGTATTCGCATCAAATTTTGTCCAAGCTCTTCCCAAAATTCAGGTTTTGAAAAAAGTAAATAAAGATCTGTATCCTGACGACCTTATTTTAGGCCGCTGACTCTATAACATTTGTTTTGTCTTGTATTATTTAATTCTTCTAATGTTTCGCAAAATGATAACTATTTTTTTTATACGTGCTATGGGTGATTTGTTTCACATTTCTTGTTCGTTTTAGCCAGAAGGTTTGTGTTCTTTTTTTTAGTGTACAAAATATGCGAGAGATTTTTGACAAGTCCATCTTGATAAAAATCACCCATGACTGAATTGATATTTGTTCAATTTTCCCTCCAAAAATCTCCTTACTAATTTGTTCCTCACATTTTCCCTATCGCCGCAAAATTCCCAGATTTTTGAGAGAAAACCTCAATCTGGTATTAATGGTTACAAAATATAATGTAACAAACAACAAACGGAACTTTACGTTGTGTAAATTGTAATTTATGAGCCTTCATTCTGTAAGTGTTATGTTGTTTCCGAGCGCCTTTTATAAAATCTGTTTACGTTGTTTTTTTTTCAAAAGAGTGTTGTGGCCTAGTTCTTTAAAAACCTGATGCCGACCCCGTCGTAAAGGTCGTGCGTTCGAATTTGGATGATACTAAAAATCAACCAGCAAATGACATTTTCCCATTTAAATTGTTTCTTGATAGGGCCTTATTAACTTTGGATATAAAAAATACCCTACGACCTATACCCAGACCTACCAAATATATATCGAAAATTATGTAACAATCGGTCGAGACGTTGCGGAGATCGGTCGAGCCTTTTCGTAGGAATCCAGTAACAGACATTGTGACACGAAATTTTGATATATTAGACTAGCTGTGCCCGCGGTTTCACTCGCGTGAAATTTATAACCTGTGTTGTTCTGATGTATAATCTACATTACTGTAAAATTTCATATAAATCGTTCAGTAGTTTTTGCGTGAAAGAGTAACAAACATCCATCCATACTCCCAAACTTTCGCGTTTCTAATAATAATAAGATTGTGTTTATATTTCTTAATGACTTTCGATGATGGAAACACTTTTAACAATTTAAATTCTCCAAAAACTCACGAGACGGCGGTACGTTAAATTACTTCATGTACAGTATGGCACGATTATTTTATGTATCACATACATTCCGTCAATGTGTAATTATTTTCCAAACTTGAACATATATTTAAACGCAGGCTTGCCTTGAGTTTGCCTTGTTTTTGTTTTCGTACCTTAAGTGTATGAGTTCATGTAATGCAATGTTGCAATACCTACTCAGAGACTTAATACAATATTTATGGTCCCATATGTTTTTCCTAGACTTATTAACTAAATAACACTAGTCCTTTGAAGATTATCTGCAAATAAACAAAGTACTTATGTTGTCTCCTTATGAATAAGTACTTAATTTATATCAGACTAGTTGAGCCCGCGAAGAACCGTGTCTAAACTATATATGTACCAAATTTAATTTAAATCGGTTCAGTAGTTTTGGCGTGAAAGCGCGACCGACAGACAGACGAGAGTTATTTTTGCTTCTTCTTAGTGTTTAAAGGTTAGCAATAGTGGTTTATGTTACAAAAAAGAAATAAACAGTTTCTAAGCAATCTTTTGACGATGTTAAGAATCTAAGAATGTAAACAATAGTGATTGTGTATAGACATAATAAGAGAATGTATCATAGACACACTACGTAAGATGGCCTTCAACCGGTTCATAAGTCCTGCCGCGGGTTTGGAGTGCTATCTGTACTTATACGTTCGGTGAAGTTGTAAAAGTCAGCTGTGGCAACAGCATTAGAACCGACCGATAAAGGGCGAGTGTAGATTGTACTCCTAACCCGCGGAAGGACTTATGAAGTGGCTGAACACCAACTTTCTGTCTAATAGACATGACTTTAGTCTGAGGGCACCACTAAGGATTCGAACCTTGGCTTAGGCCGTCGTAATTTCGATCCCCGTTTGAGGTAAATGCTTTTAAATTTAACGTATACTGTAATGCTTGAGGGGGAGGGGAAGACCAAGGAACAGCTACATCAAACAAATTGAGGACAAAATCCAATATTGAGTTTTTTTTTCATTTTATTATTTCATTGAATTAGGACAAACACTGGTAAGTAAGAATAAATTATTTAAAAGATCAACACACAAGTTTCTTTGTTGTTCTTCTTGTGATGAGACAGCATTCCGAATGAGCGGTAAATTAAAAAAAAAAAATGTTATGACTATTCAAAAGTGCTTCAATGTAAGTTTATTTGAATAAATGATTTTCTATTCTTTTCTATTCTATTCTATCAACATGATGGATGATCGCGGAAAGTGGCAAGAGCTCCACCGACAAGAGCGTAGCTGTTAAATTATGAATGAATGAATGAATGTAATGCTTGCTTTCAGATGGGATACGCCAATTTCGAGCAGACCGGTCACGGTATACACTTGAGGCAGTTTGCGAGAGCGTTTGTGTTAGAAAACGATGCCGAAAGCCAGGAGAGAGTGGTGTTCGTATCAGTTGATGCTGCTATGATGGGTCATGGAGTCAGGAGGGAGGTAAGAATATGATTTATTATGTAACTTGAATGTGATAAGCTGACGACGTTAAAATAAGCAAAATAACCTCATCTGATGATGAGTGGTTGCCGTATTGATGAAAATATATCATGACATAGAGATGCCACGCTCCATCCACAATTGCAATGTGTATAGACATAATAAGAGAATGTATCATACACGATTTGGAGCCGTTGTAAAATACGTTTTCTTTCTAATGATTTTGTACAATGTTGATGAAAAGTTACAATGCAAATGTTCCGATTTAAGTGATCTAATGATAGACAAGGTCAACACAGTTTGCTTATTTGCACTATTAATTATAATGTGTCTAGTTAAACATAAAATTGTTTGTTCATCGACATTTTTGACGACCTCGCTGATTTACTGGTATTGTTTGTCGCGGGTTCGATTATACGGTACAAACTTTTGGATGCATGAATATGATTGTTTGTATGGTCTGCATATTTTCTATATATTTCCAAAAAAAGTATCTATGTATTCATATTTGTTATCTATACGTATAATTAATAAAAATCACGGGATCTTACCACGTTTTATATTTATTTGCTGAGTTCCCGATATTTCGGCAGTGTTTCAACCACCATGATCACGGGTAAACGGTCAGTTATCTAGTACCCATAACATAAGCTCTGCTTAGCTTGGACTAGATAGCTCTGTGTGAATTATCCAGGTATATTAAAGAAAATATATACATTTCAGGTTTTAAAAAGACTGAAAAAACGATACGGCGACCTATATACAGAGGACAACGTGATCATTAGCGGCACCCATACTCACTCCACGCCTGGTGGTTTCCTGATGGACTTTCTTTTCGATCTACCTATATTGGGTTTTGTTAAGGAAACTTTCATTGCATACGTCCTTGGCATCTATAAGGTAATTTACAGAATTAATTATGAGAGGATAAGTAATTTAAGTTCATATCTCACTGGCATTAATAACTGTAAATGTAACATTATATTTTTGGGTAACTAAGATTTACTCAGAAGACGGCGCAACGTTACCGTTAAACCTTGATTTTTGGATTCCTTAACATTTTTTATGTAATTCGAATGGCAAACAAGTCTACGTATCGCAAATCGCAAAAGTCAATGGCAACAGTTACCTATATGCAGAAACAGAACATATTGTGGCAACCTTGCTACTCTCACGTGTTGTCATTCGAGATAATTAAGATGTTACTCGTATGTCCTGAGTACTTTGTAACTCAAAACTTTACTATATCTCAATCTTCAACTGGAACACAGTTTACAAAGTAAGTTTTGTTGTTTGTTTGCTTGACAGTTGACATAGGTTTATTTAAAGCAAAGGAGACAAACAATGCGGCTCATCTGATGGTAACTGATTATTGCCGCCCATGAGTATCTGCATCACCAGGGAAATTGCAATTGCGTTGCCGGCCTTTTAAGAAGAAATAAGCTCTTTTTTTAAGGTTTCAATATTCAATGTTCATAACAGTTCGGAAATACCATTGCTAGAAAGTGAAATGTCACGAGATTATAATGATATACCTAGAAATACCCGATTTGTAATTGTACTAAAATTCTGTACATTATACTCGTGAACGAGTATTCCTTGTTGGGACTGGTCTGCTCTTATCACTACGTCTGATTTAATCTTATTGTGTATTTATATTTGACCCTAATAAATTAGTGCTAGTTGGTAGTTTGTATTCACACGTTTCGACTTGTAAAATGTAAACTGACAATTTAAAAGAGCAACACACAGCAAGATTCTTGCTCGTTCGTCTCGTAGTGCTTAAATTGAGTTTATCTGAATAAATGATTTTCTATTCTATTCTATTACAGAGTATAGTGATAGCACACACCAAATTAACACCAGCTCGCGTCGAGTATGGCGAGGCTGAATTATTAGATGCTAATATCAATAGGTCCCCTTCTTCGTATCTAAGAAATCCTCCGGAAGAAAGAGAAAGGTGAGTAGTGGTATCTATCACGATAGTAGTAAGAACTAATGATCATATTATCTGGAAACTATCTGTCCCGTTGTTCCGTTTAACTTACGTTGAATTCGTCTACCTGACCTCATCTATTCTCATTCTCATTTATTTTCTTTACGTCATCTTCTGCTGACACCCTGCAAATGTGAGATATTTCAGGCTATTTTATCAACATCATTGTTTTAATTTGTATTTTTGATTGATTGTCCAAAATTTGAGATGTTTCATAGGCATCGGTTGGCGTTCATTACTACGTTCACAGTTGGCATTGCCTCTGACTACTTCATCCGTGATAGTAGTAAATCTTATTAATATTATAAATACGAAAGTTTGTAAGTGTGTAAGTTTTATTACTCTTTCACTTTTACTTAACGGATTTAATGAAACTTCACTATATTACATACATCAGAAGAACTCATAGGTTATATTTTATATTGATATTTAACGCGGATGAAACAGCGGGCACAGCTAGTATATAATATATTAATTAGTTAAAGTCAAAATAAATTATAGGACACTTTATTAATATAGTTAAACGGGTTTTACCATGAAGAATTATATAGTAAACACCCAAAAACATCTCTATAAAGGTTATCTCTCTTGATGTTTCGACTAGGTTGCACTAGCCGTGGTCACGAGCTGACTGGAGCAATACCGAATGTCAATGTCGATAGGTGCCTGCAGTTTGTTCTACTACCGTTATTAGATTGTCCGACAAAAAATTGCGACACAGTACTGCTGTTGACCGATGCTATCTAACTTTATTTTTCACTAGATGTTTCACCCGCATGAAATTTATAGCCTATATGTTATTCTGATATATAAGCTATATAACTGTAAAGTTTCATCAAAATCCGTTCTATACTTTTTGCGTGAAAGAGTAACAAACATCCATCTAAACTCACAAACTTTCGCGTTTATAATATGTGTAAGATTAATTACTGTATTCCACGCAGATGATAACTTTAAACCATATTCTCGGTTAAAATTGAGCATTTCTTTATTTCTATGGCCTTCTGTACCGTTCTTGGAAAATAGTGGCGAACAGTAAAGACTTTAGGCGCATCAGTTCTATTCGGTAATGAGTACTTATCGCGAAAGTTTAAAAATAAGAATTAAAAGGACATTTCCGACCATATGTATATGTACGTCATAAATTTTCAACTCTATTCCTACAGTCCAGTTCGGCTAGCTACTTCAATGATTACATTTTTATGTATAACTTCTTCAGGTACAAATATGATGTGGATAAGACACTTGCGCAAGTCCGTTTCCTAACACCCACAAACGAAGTCCTGGGTGTGATCAACTGGTTTGCAGTACATCCCACCAGTATGAACAACACCAACCGTCTGGTATCTTCAGATAATGTGGGGTACGCTTCCATATTGATGGAGAAAGCCCTCAATGGCAACAATACGCATCCAGGGAAGGTATGCAAGTGATTATTATTAATAGATCTGATGTAGGTATAATATTTTACAATTGTTTAAAAGAGCACTGTGAACCCTCACAGGACTGCAAATTGAACAAACATATAGGCAAACTGAGGCCTGTGCACCAAAAATCTACAGATTTTGACAAGCTAAAGTGGAAACGCTATACATCCTGTGTGATTGTAGCCCACTCATGCATAAACATCTCATTTGGAAAGTTTACGCTCTATCTTGAGCTGATAAAAACCATCACTCCTAAGAATATCCTTCAATTCTTATCCCTGTCTAATTCGGGTCTAGGTAGCGAAATCAGAAAAAGGGCGAGCACAATAGATCTATATAGGTTGCAGTACTACAGGTCCAAGGACCTTACAATAGCCCAAACCCTCCAAAAAAAAAGAAAAAAAGAGCAACACGCAAATTTCTTGCTCGTTATTCCTGGGATTAGTTTTTTATTAAGAGCAACATGCAGGTTTCCTGGTCTTTATTCTTGTGATGATTCTGCGTTCTGAATGAGCGGTAGATTAAGAACAATAAGTATGACTATTCAAAAATGCTTAATGGTATACACTGGTAGGGCACCAGTGGAGGATGATAAGATGGGTATGAGGTTAGGTTATTAACACATCGTGGCAAATTCAAGTAGAAATATTTTTTATTCAACATAATTTTATTAACTTATTATAATCACTTTTGAATAGTCGTATTTTTTATTCTACCTCTCATTCAGAACGCAGAATCATCACAAGAAGAACGAGCAAGAAACCTGCGTGTTGTTCTTTTAAATAAATATTATTCAGAAATACATTTTTAGGAATTTTGTGTGACATAAATAAATGAATAGTTACTTGAGTAACGAAAGTCAGTCCCTACAAGCGGTAACCTAAAATACCTTGTAATTCTTTTTAGGGTAATATTGTTTGTGCTTTCGCATCAACAAATCTTGGCGACGTTTCCCCAAATATCAAGGGTCCACGTTGCGAGTTCTCGGGCAAAGTGTGTGATCAAGAGAAGCTGCTGTGCAAATTGCCAAAGGAGAGATGCTTCGCGTCAGGCCCAGGAAAGGATATGTTTGATAGTACCAGGATCATTGCCACACGGATGTACCAGACTGCTATGGTAAGTTTGCGAGTTTCACGAGATATAAAGATCTTGAAAGGTCTTCTAAAAGTGTAATTATTGAAAGATACTGGGACTTAATAAAACTCATAATGGTCAAAGTTTTAAGACTCGATTATCACCTAGGCTTCAAACTTCAAACTTCCAGTTAGCACAGCGATTTACATCTGATGGCTTCCATTACTCGCATGGTATAAGCATTTGTATTCCTAAGTATGATTGTTTGTTTGGGTGTTTTTATCAAAATCAAAAAAATGTCTAAGTATCATAAGTATATATAAAGTTCATATCTATCAGTTGTCTAGATCCATAACATAGGCTCTGCTTAGCTGGGGACTAGATGACGCTGCATAAATTGTCCTATTTTTATTAAGTCTTTGATAACAGAACTTTAATAACCATCAAATTTATAATTTCAATGAACTATGGTGGAACTTCGCTGACTAGTCGACCAATGGTTTCGTTTAATAAGTCAAAGGATTTTGATTTGGAAAAACACGTATGTTTATTTTTATAGAAAATTTTGGCTGTACCTGGTGAGGATGTAACTGGGCCAATTGGTGTGGTACATCAGTTTGTAGAGATGCCACTACAGAAGGTCCCGTCGTACGATCCAGTTTCAGAGACCTTCAATGCTGTAAGTAATCTTATAACGTCATCATTTGGTGGTCTCCATGGTCTAACGGATTAGCATACCTCCTTATCTCCGATCTTTGAGGGTTCAATTCCTCCATGGTAAAATATATGTATAGAGTACTATTGTTTGTATTCATCTGGGAGGTTTAATGTATATTACGTATGTATTTCGAAAAAAATGTATGTATTTATATCATTTGTCTAGTATTAATATACAAATTTTGCTTAGCTTGGGGTTATGTGCGAATTTCGGTGTGACACACCGAGATTTATTGGGTTTCGAACTAACAGCTGCTTACCTTTATGAAAGAGGACTACTGGCCAAAGGTTATGGCGTCGTCAGTGCCGTGACTACAAATACGATTTATTAATATTTTAAATGTATGTTAGTCTCATAGTTAGTTAGTAAGAGACACGTCGACAAATCGTAGCTTTTAAATTATGAATGAATAAATGTTAGTCTATAAGTAACTTATAGTAACTAATAGCCCATCAGTGGCCCGAATTAAATAAAACATAAGTCAATAAATGTCAGAGCGCGGAGGTGTCGGGCTGCGCCCCCGCGATGGGGTACAGCTTCGCGGCGGGCACCACGGACGGGCCGGGCGCGTTCGACTTCCGCCAGGGCACCACCTCGCCCAACAAGCTCTGGGACGCCGTGCGCGACTTCGTGGCCGAGCCCACGCCCCGGGACATCGCCTGCCACGCGCCCAAGCCCATACTCCTCGCCACCGGACGGGTGAGCCTCGCCACACTTATATGTATCACCATCGTCGACATTATCTTCTTAATCGCCGGCATTAATATCACGATCGTCGGCATTATCATCACAATCGTCGGCATTATCATCACCATCGTCGGCATTATCATCACAACCGACACACTTATTATCACAATCGTCAACATTATCATCAGAATCGTCGTCGTTATCATCGCAATCAGGGTCATTATCATCCTAATCGATAATTTTCACAATACCCATCACCATCATCAAAATAAGGATTAAACAAAAAATTACCACCATCATTATATGAGTTTTCCTTAAACAGGTATTTTCATACTAGTGCCAACTCACTAAATCAAAACAAATACACTTACCGACATTGATATTAACATTTGTATTCATAAGTATGATTTGTTTGTTTTTTCGTTTCTTTACGAACTATTCTAATGCTTAGCCACACCTGGTTTTGGTGAAGGTCTACTTCACCTAACGATAGGGGATGGGTACAGATAGCACTCTAAACCTGCGGACTTATGGAGCCTGCTCCGTCGACTCCCGCCTGACGGATACGATTTTTGTGTAAGGGTACCACTAGGGGTAGAACCTCGGCTCAAGCTATCGTAACTTCGATCCTTCTTCTCCTAAAAAATTTCTAGCGTTATTTTGAAACTTTGAATTCAATTGTATGTCGTTTCTATAATTGCAGATAAAATTCCCATATAGCTGGCAACCCCAAATCGTGTCGTGTTCAGTCGCTCGTATTGGCGGTCTGATCATAGCAGCTGTTCCTGGAGAGTTCACCACCATGTCGGGCCGAAGGTTGCGTAACGTGGTCTCCAAGGCTTCTGGAGCGAAGAGAGTGGTGTTGGCAGGACTATCAAATGTCTATGCGGACTATATCGCAACTCCTGAGGAATACCAGGTGATTAGAAATATTACTCATTGACAGATATACTGCCACTTAAATATCCAGGCTATAGTGGTGGGACGGGACATTGGGGTCCCCAAAGTATGATTAACTGCAGCAAAGGCTGGCTCACCCGTCGTACTCGTGAACGGGTGTTGCTTGTAGTGTCTGGTCTGCTCTGTTAACTATGACTGATTTATTTTGTTACCCAAGTATTTATTTATTTATGTCAACTTTGCTATGTAGCTGGTTGTATTCACACAAAATTCCTAAAAATGTAATTCTAAAGGATATTTATATTCATTATTACTATTATTTTAAAAAGCAACAATAGTTTCTTATTGTGATGAGTCTGCGTTCCGAATGAGTGAAGAAAAATATAGTTAAATTATTCACTGCTCGCTGACTTTGCCGCACTAAATTGCACGCGCTGAAGACCGTGTCGTGTAAAGGCAGCTATTGATTTGCTTAAACTCAATTTGTTATTGATCTTTTTCATAATAGTTTCTGCATATTACAGGAGCAACGGTACGAGGCTGCTTCAACTATCTACGGACCGCACACGCTTGACATATACCTGCATAAGTACGTCGAGCTGACGGAAGCTTTAATGAAGGTAATCTTACCATACTTATTCGTATAGGACACGAATGGTAAACATATTACTGTTAGGACCAAACACTGCAATTTATTAAAAGAGAAGATACTATAGCAAACCAATGAACAAAAGAGCACGTACCTGTTGAAAAGCCCAGTGTCATTGTAGTAAAGGATCAGAAGTGGAACTTATAGATGAATTAGAAAACACAAGCACAGATGCACAGATAAATGATCTGATGTCATCTCAAGTCATGCTCACTAAAATGTCCAGACATGTGGCGGCGTGGTGGGTCGGGTCATTGGGCTCCCTAAAATATGGTCCAGCGTAGTGATGGCTGGCTCATACGTCATACTCGTGAATGGGTGCTGCTTGTGGGGACTGGTCTGTTCGGGACGAACACTGATTAGACTATTTACTTTGCAATAGTATGTGGTGATGGTTCTGTTCTTCCAAATTTTAATATAAAAATGAATCTGTATTACTGTGAACGTATACAACATTTATTTGAAAAGAATACGAGTTGAGTTTCTTTTCAGTTCTTCCCATCTCGAAATCATTCCGAACTGACGGTAGATTTCACACATCATAAGAGACCCTCCATAGACCTACATAAATAAAGATATTTTGAATCGAATTGACGTATTTTAAGTGGTAATGCTCGATGGTTATGATTTGCCATCATCTGATAATGGAATGCTTACTCTTGCAGAGCACGAAGCCAGCAAGCGGTCCACCTCCAGTTGATCTGAGCGAGCAGCAGATATCTCTGGTGCCACCTGTGTTATGGGACTCCGCCCCCTGGGGACAAGAGTTCGGGGACTGCCTGCTGCAGCCAGAGAAGCAGTACAGTTATGGGGACACTGTCGTCGCACATTTTGTAAGTTTAATAAAGAATTTCGTGGTCCTTATCGTAAAGTTATAAACCGTATATGATGGTGTAACGGTTTAGCACCGCCTTACCTTGGATGGTCACGGATTCGATTCCTCGGACGGTACAAATATTTATATTCGTAAGTATGATTGCTATGTATGTGTGTGATTCGTATGTATATATTTTTATGGATGATAAGGATGTATCTGTCTGTGCTAACGGTATACGTCGACTGCCTGACGCTGATTGTTAGTAATGTGGATTAATTGCCATTGTGGACCGTTGTAATGTACCATGTCAGATTGACCTCCACGCGGTTCACCCTGGAAACTTCCGTAATAAATTCCAGGTTGTTACAGTGGGCTTACTGACCTGACTTCATACACATCTTATCATCCTCCACTGGTGCTTCGCCAGCGTCCTAATGTTTTGCTTTGCTTCTAATACCATCTACCATTGTGTGAATTGTCTTACGATGTTATTATTATTATAATACTAGCTTTAACCCGCGGCTTCGCTCGCATCGAACCCATTAAATAAGTATCGGAGATCATTACAATAGAAATGAATCAATATGATGAATATACTTTCTAGCAGTGTTGTTAGATTTTTTATTATTTTTATAAAAATTAATTGTTTTTTAAATGAAAAGTATACTATGTTCATTCTATGTTCACCTCCAAGAACATGTGTACAAAATTTCATGATGATCGGTTCAGTAGTTTTTGCGTCAAAGCGTAACATACATTCCTACTTTCACATTTATAATATTAGTAAGGGTGATATAATTTCAACGTTACTAGTTTTTAGATTAGCAATTTTCGGAACTATTGGGTTTGCAAATTCTCTTTACAAAAATGTCTTTTTCCAAGTTACATTCAGCATTCCAACTTTATATAGCCTCTGTGTAATGTATTGCTATCCGGTGTGCTAGGTATCCGGTCATCCACGTAACAGCATCCGGCACGGACGCAGCTACGGCGGCGTGGAGAGACTGGAGTCAGCGCATGATGATGCTTGGACCACCGTCGCCACTGACGCTGAGTGGGAAACCAGGTAGGTCTTACAGGGTTTTTTCTATTGGGGGTTTTGGGCTATTGTCACGTGGTACCTGGTTATTTTTTCTATTGGGGGTTTTGGGCAATTGTCACGTGCTACCTGGTTATTTTTTCTATTGGGGGTTGTGGGCTATTGTCACGTGCTACCTGGTTATGTTTTCTATTGGGGGTTTTGGGCTATTGTCACGTGCTACCTGGTTATTTTTTCTATTGAGGGTTTTGGGCTATTGTCACGTGCTACCTGGTTATTTTTTCTATTGGGGGTTTTGGGCTATTGTCACGTGCTACCTGGTTATTTTTTCTATTGGGGGTTTTGGGCTATTGTCACGTGCTACCTGGTTATTTTTTCTATTGGGGGTTTTGGGCTATTGTCACGTGCTACCTGGTTATGTTTTCTATTGGGGGTTTTGGGCAATTGTCACGTGGTACCTGATTATTTTTTCTATTGGGGGGGTTTTGGGCAATTGGCATGTGCTACCTGGTTATTTTTTCTATTGGGGGTTTTGGGCTATTGTCACGTGCTACCTGGTTATTTTTTCTATTGGGGGTTTTGGGCTATTGTCACGTGCTACCTGGTTATTTTTTCTATTGGGGGTTTTGGGCTATTGTCACGTGCTACCTGGTTATTTTTTCTATTGGGGGTTTTGGGCTATTGTCACGTGCTACCTGGTTATTTTTTCTATTGGGGGTTTTGGGCTATTGTCACGTGCTACCTGGTTATGTTTTCTATTGGGGGTTTTAGGCAATTGTCACGTGGTACCTGGTTATTTTTTCTATTGGGGGGGTTTTGGGCAATTGGCATGTGCTACCTAGTTATTTTTTCTATTGGGGGTTTTGGGCTATTGTCACGTGCTACCTGGTTATGTTTTCTATTGGGGGTTTTGGGCTATGTCACGTGCTACCTGTTTATTTTTTATTGGAGTTTTGGGCTATTGGTCATGTGCTACCTGATTATTTTTTTTATTGGGGGTTTTTGGGCTATTGTCAAGTACTAAGCTAAGACTTGTGACACTGCGACCTACATTGATTTATTGTGCTCGCCTTTTTTCAAAGAGATGCGAGAACTACCTAGACAAGTCAGAGACAAGAATTGGTGGACTTACACTATAATATATGTATCTAAAAATATGTGTCTATCTATCTATCTAAATAGGTAGTACAAAAAAATTCTTTATGAGTACTGAAAATTGCTTATGTTACATTTATTTGCAAAGATCTCTATAATTTTTTTGTCTTCTGTATACAAATTATAATTCTGCGAAATTTCATACTCTTCTTCCGCGCAATTTTCATAAAATGGTGTACAAAGTTTTTTTTCACGTATTACTATGTAAATGTCATGACCATCTCCTTTCTTCGAAGTCAGTTCAAAAGTTGGCATACAATTGCAGGTTCATATGGCACCGCAGCTCCAAGATCCTGGGCACCAGCTACGCGGCCATCGAGTGGGACATACCGCCGGGGACACACCCCGGGACCTACCGGCTGCACCACTACGGCTCCTACAAGTACATCCTCGGCGGGATCTACCCCTACCACGGGTTCTCTGAATCCTTCGAGGTCACCTAGACTATCCTCATCCTAACCTGGATTGGGGTTCGCTCAAAATTCTTGAACAGTTGAAAGTGATAAATCAAATCAAAATAACTTTATTTATTTTATTAATATAGTTAAACGGCCCGTAGTCACGTGCTGACTCAGTCAGTCAGTCAGCTAGAGTGACCTAGGCGAAAGATCGGGAGAAGTAAATCTGAGAAGAGAGAGAAGTATCTATATAATAACGTTTAACTATATAATAATGTATACTAAACGAGAAAGATTAAAATTAACTATCTTTTTTGATGTAGGTCTATTACAGACTCTATGATATATCAAATCTACCATCAGTACTGAGTGCTTTCGAGTTATCGAAATACAAAAACAGTGCATAGAAAAAATAAGGATCTCTGATAAAACTTCCACAATATACCCAGTGTCTGTACTCTTTCACCAAAAGAGGTGTCCACGCGTGCGAAGACGGGACGTGCCACTAGTGTAAAATATAGAGCTATATGGTTACTAGTAATGTTTTAAAGATAATCTACAATTATAAAGTTAAATTGCCTAACTGTAGTCTAAGTTCTAAACTGTCTCATTACCCATGAGCTGAGTATGGGGGCGGAATATTGTAACACAGATTTTCCTAGCACAGGTTCCGTTCCATTCTCCTATATTATTATATTAACAGGATGTTTATTGTTATTAAAAAATGTGAATACTAATAATAGAAAGGAATAAGTAAATTTATCATTAAAAAAAGAGGCTAGTAAAATTATTATTTAGAAAGCTAATATTTCGAGTGAAGAAATCTTAGTATTTAATATTTAAAGAAACACAGTGGACAGATGAAACTGACCAGTAAACTTTTCAAGTGTTATTTTGCGGAAGTTCATTTCATCTATACAATAATATAATAATAATAAATAAATAATCTCAGGACATATAAATAAAATTGGAGTGTCTGTTTGTAATATTGAAATAACCATTTTTTACTACATGCATATGAATGTAAATACGGTACATACACCAAAATATATTTTTACAATTTTTATCTGTCTGTCTGTCGGTCTGTTTGTTCCGGCTAATCTCTGAAATGGCTGGACCGATTTTAACGGGACTTTTTTTGGCAGGTAGCTGATGTAATAAGGAGTAACATAGCCTACTTTTATTTTAGAAAAATAAAGTTAAATTCCACGCGGACGAAATCGCGGGAACATCTAGTTATATATATAATGGATTTATATTATTTTGTTTAATTCCACTACAATTAGCACTTGTCTCATACACGTGAGACCACAAATATTCAGTGAGGAAGCTTGACCACCGCTACTGCAAACGTTACGACCTTCTGTAATGGTGATGAAACTCCCACCATTATTTAATCTATAACTATTGCTTATTTTGACTCTAAACGAGGCATTATCAGGCAACGAATAGAGCTCGGATATAGGCTGGATGTCTAGTGTTGACTGTTCGGCGACGATGACAAATGAAATAGTATAAATCCAGTGATAGAACAATGTTAAAGGTTTTAAGTATCTAAATATATATAACTCAAAGGTGACTGACTGACATAGTGATCTATCAACGCACAGCCCAAACCACTGGATGGATCGGGCTGAAATTTGGCATGCAGGTAGATGTTATGACGTAGGCATCCGCTAAGAAAGGATTTTGATTAATTCTGCCCCCAAGGGGATAAAATAGGGGATGAAAGTTTGTACGAAGGTCAATTTTAATTCGATCGGGCTGAGACTTTGAATGCATAAACCTACTATGACGTAGGCATTCCCTAAGAAAAGATTTTGATAAATTCCACCCCTAAGGGGATAAATTAACGCGAGCGAAGCTGCGGGTAATAACCAGTTTCATGGCTTTTAATAAGGGTTTATTGTTATTATTGCTGTATTGTATAATCTAATACAGGCTATATAATATTAGAACCTACGGATAGGTATATATATTACTATCTATTAGCCCCAGCTTCGCCCGGGTGTACATTATACATATAAACATTCCTCTTGAATCACTATCTATATAAAAAAACCGCTTCAAAATCCGTTGCGGAGTTTTAAAGATTTAAAGGCATAGGGACGGACAGACAGCGACAGCGACTTTGTTTTATACTATGTATTTTGAAATTATTGTGATAATTGTTTAAGTATAGAAAAAAACCAAAGTGGTCTTATATAATTTAGTTAATATAATAATACGAATAAGTGTATATTAAATATTACCTGAACTCGAAAACATTGTTTTGCCATATAAATTAAAATTCCTGTTATTAAAATAAGATTTGAATGTGATAGAAGGGTAAAATTTTAAATGGTAATAGTTCAAATGGTTATATGACCCACAGTTTAGGTTCTTATTTTTTATATTTATAAATATATATATCTATATCTATCATATTAATAATCTAATATATAAAATTCTTGTATCACAGGTCTCGTGTTTAACTACTACTCCTCCGAAACGGCTTGACCGATTTTGATGAAATTTTATATGTATATTCAGTAGGTCTGAGAATAGGTTTACAATTATTTTTTATAACCCTAAGTGATGGATGGCTCACCCCAAAACTTTTTTAATTTTTCCGATAAAATTTTTTATTTCTATTTTTTTATAATGTGGCATTTAAAAATACATATAACCCTAAATTTTCACTCTTCTATCACCAACCCCTATTTTTTAATATCCATTTTAATTTATGCTGCAAAACAATGTATGAAATATAAATTAAAATCAGCTAGTAATTGTATATATTTATTAGATTATATTTGTGGCGAATCTTCTATCATCGTGCGGCAACACCGTTGCCCAGTTACAATGGGGCAGGAAATAAGCTTGTCAGTCGAGACCGAATCGCGTCTTGTAAATATACTTCTTATGTATATATTGCAAATACTTTTAATTATTATAAATATGTATATAGCCACAATCTGGACTCATCATTTCATCTCCTTTCCTGCTGCTGCCACAATACATGGAACACATTACAAACACAAATAATTACGGCCCCAACATAGCTTCTAAATTTATTATAAAATAAATAAATAATAAATAATGAATAAATCATATTTATTATTTAATTGTATTTATGTAAATCCGTAAGTTTTATCTTAACTTTCTGTTTGCGATTGCCGTAATGTAATTTTACATTGAAATAACTCAATTCAAGGTGAATTGATATTGTTTTATCAATTTTAATGAACGTTGCTTATCTATGACTCGTTACGGTAAAGGTTTTCGATATTATTAATATTTTTTTATTGAGAGGTTTGGGATATTGTCAGGTACTTAGACCTGTAACATTGAGACCCGTATAGATCTGTTGTGCTCGCCCTTTTTCAAAGTTTTTTTAAAGTTCGCTACCCAGACCCGTCAGGGACAAGAATTGAAGGATAATCTTAGGAGCGATGGTTTTCATCTCCTCAGGATAGAGTGTATACTTTACAAAGGAGATATTTCGTATATGTGTTTAGGTGCTAAGACCTCTAGCACCGCGACCTGTATAGCTCTATTGTGCTCACCCTTTTTCAGAGTTCGTTACATAGACCCGTCAGGGACAAGAATTGAAGGATATTCCTAGGAGCGATAGATTTTATCTCCTCAGGATAGAGTGTATACTTTACAAAGGATATATTTCGTTTGTGTTTAGGTGCTAAGACCTGTAGCTCTATTGTTCTAACATTTTTCAGAGTTCGCTACCTTAGACCCGTCAGGGACAAGAATTGAAGGATATTCTTAGGAGCGATGGTTTTATCTCCTCAGGGTAGAGTGTATACTTTCCAAAGGAGATATTTCGTTTTTGCACTAGCGAGCTACAACCACATAAGATGTGCAGTGGCGTTTCTTCAGCTTGGAAAAAAATTTGCAGATGTTTTATCAACATAGTGATATATAACTTTGACAGACCTCAGTGGTCTGGTGGTTTAGCACACCGCCTTAATTCCGATGGTCGCGGGTTTGATTCCTCGCACAGCACAAAGATTGGTATTTATGTATGATTCTTTGTATCGGTCTGGGTGTATCCTATGTATATTATGTATGTATTTACAAAAAAGGTATAAGAGTATATATCAGTTGTCAAGTACCATAACACAAGTTTTGCTTAGCTTGGGAACTAGATGGCGCTGTGTGAATTGTCCAGAGATATTGTTCTTATTATTCATTATTATAACTATATGAATGGTAGAATTTTATATGTCTAAACAATGTAACAAAATAATTTTCCTAGGTACCCTACAATATTATTTTAGAATAAATAATACCATTTGACTCTACTCAGTGAGCTGTGCATTGCTGCAATATTTGTTTTCTTTAAATATAGATAAATTAATGTATAATAAAGTAGTAATGTATATATACGTATTAGATGATAATTTGTATTTAATATATAAACCTACTTTAAGGAAATGTGCCAATAAAAATAATTTTCATAATATTACCAAATTTTGTATCATTTATTAAACCCCTGATAATTAAAAAATAAAATCAAAATACAAAATATCTTTATTCGTGTCAGTCTATTACAGAAATGTCTACTTATGATATGTCAAATCTACCGTCAGTTCGGAATGATTTCGAGATGAGAGGAACTGACAATAAACTCAGTTCTGTTAAGGAATATATCGGTACGAAAATAAAATACAGCGCCTCGCAGAAATTTGTGTAATGGAATGTATGATGCAATTACAGAGATTATATTATAAATACGAGAGTAACTCTATCTGTCTGTCCTGCTTTCATGCCTAAACTACAGAACCGATTTAAATGAAATTTGGTATAACAGATAGTCTAGATCCTGAGAAAGGATATGGGGTACTTTTTAATGTGAAAAAATCTTGTGTTGTATTTTTCAAGTAATAAATGTTATCAGCACGAGTCCATTATACCCCTAAATTTTTTTCTTTTTTTTTTTTTTAGACAAAATTTTTATATATAAAATCTATTTTTTTCGTTCCCATGATACAACATACAAAAATACATACAATCCAAAATTTTCACTCTTCTATCATCAACCCCTATTTTTTTTATAGCGTTATTAATTTATATGCAAAACAACGTTTGCCGAGACAGCTAGTATTAATATATATTTTTCTCCGTTTATCTAGTCTTTTTTCTTATTACATGAATAAACTACAACAGTTTGTATGGAAGTATCGTCATTTTGAAAGTTAGAAGCATGAAACTTATTTTTTAGGCTGTTGATTAAATATAAATGAATATGACATATAAAATTTATAAAAAAAATACACTTAAGGGAATAAAATTTATTAGCGGATGAAAGTTCACATGAAAATTCGTTATTTATCGTGTAATCCACGCGGACGAAGACGCAGGCACAGCTAGTCATTCGTATTTGTAATTTATCTATGAATACATATCCGATAAGATTCGTACGACCCGTGCCGACGAATTGTGTTGTATCGTTCGACTAGTATTATACATTAATAGATAATAATGCACTAATATTAAAATGCATGTAGGTATTTATTGGTATTTGTTGGGTAGTGATATTTATAAATATTACGGCACAACTTTATATTAAACTAGCTGTACCCGTGACTTCGTCCGAGTGAAAATTAACTTTATTTTTCTAAAACTAAAGTTATTTTATTGCAAATAGCCACAGATGCGCGTGACCGGGTCTGCTAGTCTACATATATAAATAAAATTGTAGTGTCTGTTTGTAATATTGAAATAACCGTTTTTTACTACATGCATATGAATATAAATATGGTACATACACCAAAATCACATTTTTTACAATATTTGTCTGTTTGTCTGTCGGTCTGTTTGTTCCGGCTAGTCTCTGAAATGGCTGGACCGATTTTGACAGGACTTTTTTTAGCAGGTAGCTGATGTAACAAGAAGTAACTTAAGGTACTTTTATTTTAGGAAAATAAAGTGAAATTCCACGCGGACGAAGTCGCGGGTACAGCTAGTACACAATAAGATTAAATCAGTCGTAGTGATAAGAACAGACCAGTCCCTATAAGCAGCCTATTATTATAAAATAAACTAATATGTAATTTCAGTATATATAGTGATTATAATTTAATTTGTCTACTGTTGTGGACATATCTATATATAAATAAAATTAGAGTGTCTGTTTGTAATATTGAAATAACCGTATTTTACTACTTGCATATGAATATAAATACGGCACATACACCAAAATAACATTTTTTACAATTTTGGTCTGTCTGTCTGTTTGTTCCGGCAAATATCTGAAATGGCTGGACCGATTTTGATGGGACCTTTTTTGGCAGATAGCTGAAGCAGTAAGGAATAACTTAGGCTACTTCTGTTTTAGGAAATATCTTTTATTTTAGAAGAATAAAGTTAAATACCATTCGGTCGAAGTCACAGGAAGAGCTAGTAGGCAATTATCATTACCGAATAACATATTTACGAAAGATAAAAAAGGGGTAAACACATATATATCACATTTTTGTATTGTTGATAATAACAGATATCAATTAAACGATTTGATTATATTTAATCTTTTTGATTTCAGTAGTTTAAAGAGTGTGGCCACACACCTGTGTTTAGTGTTAAAAAAAATCAATATATATATTTTGTGCTAGAAAATAATAAAAGTAAAAAGGTACTGTAAGTAATTATATAATTGTATATACTAATCATCATTACACAGTATAAAACAAATTCGCTGTCGCCGTCTGTCCGTCCCTATGTATGCTTAAATCTTTAACTACGCAACGGATTTTGAAGCGGTATTTTTTAATAGATAGTGATTCAAGAGGAAGGTTTATATATACATATAATACATGCACACCCGTGCGAACTCGGGGTGGGTAACTAGTATATGAATATAGAAGGTATAATATTTTTTTTTATAGTCTCAGGACAATTCACACAGCGCCATCTAGACCCAAGTTAAGCTAGCTGAAGCTTGTGTTATGGGTACTCGATAACTGATACATATACATAGATATTTTTTATTGTAAATACATACATATTATACATAGAAAACACCCAGACCGATATAAACAATCATACTCATGAATGTAAATGTTTGTGCCGTGCGAGGAATCGAACCCGCGACCATCGATCGTAAAGCGGTGTGCTAGACCGCTAAACCACCGAGATCGTCGTTATGTTTGTTTGTTTGAACGCGCTAATCTGGAACACTGTCAGATTTAATTTTGTATTGCTCAAAGTCTAACTAAAGGACCTGTCATAGCTTCGAACTATAAACATCAGTTTATAGTTTACAGTTGCAGTACATGCATTACAAATCTTTGAATTTCTCGGCTTATTCTATACAGTAACACTCATGTACTATACATATAAACCTTCTTCTTGAATCAGTCTATCTAATGCTGAAAACGGCATAAAAATCCGTTGTGTAATTTAAGAGATGTAAGCGGACAGATAGCGGCGGCGACATTGTTTTATACTATGTAAAGATGCTGCAAAGATTATTTACCTGTGAAGCAACCTATTAGATTTTAGTTTCTTCTCTTGGAGTACGTTGCCTCAAGAGGCATTAAATTATTAAAAAAAAACAAATTTTAAGACAAATTAGGGGTTCATTTTCTTCGCAAGGTGCAGTCAAAGGAATATTAAGGAATACAAGAAACAAATAAGTAGAGACACCTCAATACATCATACATAACGCTACAGAGCTGATGTGATAACTATCACGCTACACATGTACACACGTTTTTTTTTCAGAACACAATGGCAATCTCCTTAACGGGTAAGATTGTCACAACAATCGTGACTTTAGCCGTCATTGGTGGTATGATAGCTCTTATCGTGATACTCGTGACTGATGATAATGATGTAGATGTTCCTTCCACCACCACCACGGCAGCTCCTGATGGCACTCTGTACGAAGTGGGAGTTGGTATAGCAGATATGACTGGACCATGCGTTGAAGTAACATTTGTGAGTATACGTTTTATACGTACATTCCACTGGCTATTGCGTCCTTGGATTCACCCTCTGTTCTGAAATTACGAAAGCCTAGAAGATTTAGTGTTCTCGGAATAAAGTTTTCAAATAAATGATAACAATGTCACTATAGAATAGAATAGAATGGAAAATCCTTTATTCAAGTAAACTTAATTTTAGCACTTCTGAATAGTTATAACATTTTTAATCTACCGCTTATTAGGAAGTCCAAGGGTTCTCGGAATAAAGTTTTTTAATGGTATAATTTCTAAGATACTAATGTTATTATAGAAAAAAAAAGAAACTTAAAATATATAAATAGTGAACGAAAGCCTAGAAGTGTTCTCAGAATATAGAAAATAATAATATGAACAGGTACTGTAAGTAATTATATACTTAGATATACTAATCATTATTACATAAAGTTTTTAAATAAATAATAATAATGGTATTGTTGAAATAAAAAACAACTTAAAATTAATCGTGCTGATAATATCTGATTGCATAAAAAATAAGTAGATGTTTCTATGTTATTTGTTGCATGCCTCATTGTTAATGTTATACCAATATTTATTAAAAAGAGCATCACGCAAGTTTCTTGCTCGTATTCTTGTTTTGAGTGTTGAAAATCACTTACATTAAACTGGAAATGGAATTGAACCCGCAACTATCGGAAGTACGCTAGACCAAGCTTTAAAAAATGCATTAATTTCTTGTCCAGATGGGTTACGCGGAGTTTCTTCAAACTGGTCGAGGCCTACACTTGAGGCAATTCTCCAGAGCCTTCATATTCGTCAAGGGTAACACCAGAGTCGTGTTGGTCACGGCAGAGGTGCAGGCCGTGGGTGTTTACGTCAGACGGGAGGTAAGAATCTAGTGTATATATAATTTTATTTCCACTCTTACATCTATTTTTTAAGCCTAATATAATAGAGTAGTAAACATTACTTTTTTTAATTACTTGTAACTTATAATAGACTAGCTGTACCGGAATTCGACCATAAATAATTCATACCAGCTGTTAAAAAAAAAAAAAAGTTTAATTCTACCCGCGACTTCGTCCGCGTGGAATTTAACTTTATTGTTTACAATAAAAGTAGCCTAAGTTACTCCTTATTACATCGATCTGCCAATAAAAGTTCCGACAGACAGACAGACAGACAAAAATTGTAAAAAATGTTATTTTGGTGTTACATACACATACCCTATTTATATTTATGTGCATGTAGTAAAAATCGGTTATTTCAATATTACAAACAGACACTCCAATTTTATTTATATGTATATATAAAGAAATCTTCGTGAATTCATTCAAGGAACAGAAAACTGATCTATTTGCTCCGCTTTATGTATAAAGTATGTAAATGTATGCAGTACTCTTGTGACCGATATATTCTTACCTAACTAGAACCGATTTTTATGAAATTTTATATCCATATTCAGTGGATCTGAGAATCGGCTACTATCTATTTTTCATACCCCTAAGTGATAAGGTTGTCCACCCCTAAAAATACATACAACCCTACATTTTAACCACCAACCCCTATTTTAATAGCAATTTTAGTTATGAATATATAGAGATTACAGAGCACGGAGGCGATACCCTTAAAAGACGATCAGTGATGCTGTTTAATATACAGGTTCATATACGATCTCACCAATAAGTGGACCGCCAGCTTGTTAGCCATTCCAGCTATATAAAAAATATAATACTATTTTGAAATCTATATCTTTACAATTAGGTCGTACATAAGCTGCAAGAACTGTACGGTGATATATACAGTTTGAGGAACGTGATCATAGCTGGCACGCATACACACGCGGCGCCGGGCGGCCACTTAGTCGATTTCCTGTTGGACATCAGCATTCGAGGCTTCTCACGTGAAACGTTCGATGCTTATGTCGAAGGAATTACAAGGGTAAGTTACGAAGATCATATCAATATCAGATCGCTGTGTCCATGCAATAAAGTTACGTAGTACAATTTAAATAAGATAAGTTTTTGAAATGAAACTTCTTTATTAGAATTTTTCGGTCATGAAAAAGTGTTTTTTTTTTTTATTTTTTTATTAAATTTATTTGTTTCTCTACTGTTTTTATTATCCCATTTTTTTTTTGTATTATAAATATATTATGTAGTACTTCAGCCGCGATTTGATACGGCCAAAGTTTTAATTGTATAATGTGTTCCTCTGGATAATTTAACATCCCCTATATTAAATTATCGAAGTAAATACATATTACCATCCCGTGGAAAACGGAAGGCGTAGACGATATATCGCGTTGTGAGAATAAGAGACAGGCTGGTGACAGCAGAGAGAGGACAACGGTCCGTTGAAGTTTCACTTTGACTTTCACTTTGAAGACATGAAGTACAACGGACTGCAGTTGGACTTCATGTCTTCCAGTTTTTTATGTATGATAATGGAATGGTGCACCCTATTGCGTTAACAGTACGCTCTTACGCTAGGGGGTGCTAGTGGAAGATGATAAAATTAGGCATGATAACAGGTCAGTTAGCACATCTTGAAAAATTCACCAGGAATTTATCGTAATAGTTTCCAGGGGGAATCGCGTGGAGTTCATCCTGACATGGTACATTGCTAGGGTTATTAGTCCACATTACACTCATACCTTTCCTCCCCAATAAGTTAAGTTATTTTTTTAATGGATGATAATAGAATAGGCTGGCGTACCCGCCTGTGCTAACGGTTTACGCTGTCGGGGCACCAGTGGAGGATTATAAAATGAGCAGCCAACCAAGATGACCAAGAGACTTGACCTCATGGTCAGGTCTGTCAGACCATCTTGGTAAATTCACCAGTAATTTATCACGACACTTTCCAGGTGAAACCGCTTGGATGTCAACCTATCATACATTGCTAGCTGTAGTGTCAACAATCCACATTACTATGAAAACTTTTCCCCCAATAAGTCAAGTTGTAAACTTAAAATTAAATCATTAAGAAGATGGAGTGGTGTATGATTAGCGTGTAAGGTTCTGTACCTTGGCTGGGCAAATAATCCACGTTTATGATCACACTTACCAAGTTCTGGGACATGAATGATGATCAGGTTTAAGATTAGATAAAATTATTCTTTATTGCAGAGTATTATCAGAGCCCACGAGAACATTGTGCCAGCTCGTCTTTTCTACGCCACCACGAAAGTGGTAAATGCACAGAAGAATCGGTCTGCGTTCTCGTATGACGTCAATCCAGAAGCAGAAAGACTTGAGTGAGTCCTATACTATTTCCTAGAGTCCAAAAGTAGAACAAGAGCATTCAAGTCAATATTGACGGTCACTACCTCGGTCGTCTACCGGTTTAACACATCGCTTTACTTTGTTCGTGGGTTTGATTACTTTATTTGTTTCTTGTAGAGAGATACAGATTGAACTATTAGAAATGCGTACACTCAACGCGCAGTAACTTGTCTTACACTGGAGTTATGTGGAGACGTAAAGAAATGGAAGAGTGTAGGCACAAATATGGAATAGAATACAAATAAACCTAATATCAGCACTTTTCAACCGTCACATTTTTTATTCTACTACACATTTAAATAATTCCTTCCTATGGTTTGGAGTGCCTGCGTTGCCTCGTGCGCTATCGTCCGATGAAGCTGTAAAGGCTAGCTGTGGCCAACAGCAGAGTAGTCTGAAAAACAGTAAGATATCCTGTTACCATTTCAGATATGACAATAATGTGGATGATGTATTAACTCAGCTGCGTATAGTGAAGCCCAATGGTGATCTCCATGGGGTTCTCAACTGGTTTGCAATCCATACCACAAGCATGAACATGACCAACCGGCTGGTCTCGTCCGATAACCTCGGGTACTCCGCTATCGCTATGGAGAAGGCGTTGAACCCCAACAACTTGGTTGGAAAGGTTTGTTACAATATTTTTCTATAGCTAAAAAAAAGTATTACATTGTGTAAAAAAAATATGGTCATATATTTTAATTCTTGTATCTTAATCTGATGACTTTCATCATCATCATCATCATTGCCTTGCTTTTATCCCATAATTTGGGGTCGGCAAATAATAGGATAAAGGCAAGGCAATACTGATGTGGGGCGGGTAAATATATATGATTATTTCAGCCAGAAATAGTAGCTGGTTTCTTCCCCGCCAACTTGGGTGATGTTTCCCCCAACTTGGAGGAGCCTCGTTGTGAGTTCAGCAGGGAGATATGTGACAACCAGTTCGTGATCTGCAGCGCTGGCCAGCGCTGCTATGCGTTAGGACCTGGAGAAGATATGTTTGAGAGCACCAGAATCATTGGCGAGAGGATATACGAGGGTGCTATGGTAAGATCATAGATAAGAAGATGAATGTTTAGCTTCCTAATTTATTGATGACTAGCTGTGCTCGCGACTTCGTCCGCGTGGAATTTGACTTTATTTTTTTAAAAACATATTTTTTCTAAAATAAAAGTAGCCTAAGTTACTCCTTATTATATCAGCTACCTGCCAAAAAAAGTCCCGTCAAAATCGATCCAGCCATTTCAGAGATTAGCCGGAACAAACATACAGACAGACAGACAAAAATTGTAAAAAATGTTATTTTGGTATATGTACCGTATTTATATTCATATGCATGTGGTAAAAAACGGTTATTTCAATGTTACAAACAGACACTCCAATTTTATTTATACGTATAGATGTATAGATTTATTCATAGTACAATACTTAAGTTACAGTAAAAGTGTACTATATATTGAAACTATATTTATAGGAGGCGCTAAATGATCCCGGTGAAGAACTGACGGGCGAGATTGCAGTTGTACATCAATTCCTGGACATGCCGTCACAAACAGTCTCCAAATACGACCCCATTACTAAAACTTTCAACGAGGTAAGTTATATACCTTTAAAACTATTATCTCAGATGGAGTAGACAGTCTTTGGCAACTGTCAACGTTAATTGAACGTAACGCTTAATCCAAATTTCATATTCTATTCCACCAATAAAACAATATTTATAAAAAATCATGAGTAAATTACTTCATGATTTTTTATAAATGTAAAACAATATTTATAAATAAATATTTTACTCATGGTTTTTATATTGTTTTATTGAAAGAGCAACACGCAAGTTTCTTGCTCGTTCTTCTTGTGATGAGACAGCTTTCCGAACGAGCGGTAGATTAAAAAATGTAATGACTATTCAAAAGTGCTTCAATGGAGTTTATTTGAATAAATGATTTTCTATTCTATTCTATTCTATTCTATTCTATTCTATTGGCGAAATAGAATGTTGGAGGTCGTCACTATCGTTAGATAGTGTATGGGGGCGCCACTGTATTATGCTCTGGAATCAGTAGCACTATCTTTCCCACATTAAGTTCCTGAAATAAATGTTGTGGGGCAATAGTGATAGAATAGAATAAAATAGAATAGAAAATAATTTATTCAAATAAACTTAATTTAAGCACTTTTGAATAGTCATAACGATTTGTTTTTTATCTACCACTCATTCGGAAAGCTGTCTCATTACAAGAAGTACGAGCAAGAAACTTGTGTGTTGCTCTTTTAAATAATCCTTGTAAGTTTACATTTACAAGTTGAATACAAGCACTAATTTTTTGGGTCAAATATAAATATGCAATAAGATTAAATCAGTCGTAGTGATAAGAGCAGACCAGTCCCTACAAGCAGCACTCGTTCACGAGTATGACGGATGAGCTAGCCATCACTGCGCTCGACCATATTTTAGGGAGCCCAATGACCCGGCCCACCACGCCGCCACATTTCTGGACATTTTAGTGAGCATGACTACTCATTCCACACGACCACGTCACAGCTACAAAAATTACTATATGGTAGTTCAATCAATACAAAAGCCGCTACGCTATCATATATCAAGAAAGCAGTATGAAAAATAAATTATAACGTTGTCCTCAAATAAACTTATTCTTGCTATATATTGCTATTATCTATAAATTCATCTATCTTATATAATAGATATATATTTGATATAGAGATTATGTATATATATATATATAATAGCACAGATAATATAAATAATAGATAGATAGATAATAAGGCAATAGTAGTAATTTCATCGTCAAAAGATAAAAATAAGTTACACAAAAGATAAATAAAAAATATTTTACAAAAGAAAAAAATGGGAGCTATTGCCGCCTATATAAGCTATTGGCCATTGCCAATGTGTTTCTTTGACATAACCCTTGAGCTTAGTGCAAGGATTTGTTGTCAAAATATTTTATCTATATATATTAATGTAAAAGTGTACAAATAAACAAATTATTATATATTCAGAACGAGCAGGTGAGTGGTTGCATCCCAGCGATGGGCTACAGCTTCGCATCAGGTACCACCGACGGAGCCAACACTATGAATATAACTCAGGTATATATATGCCTATATGTACTTCTAATGCTTAGAACTATGTGTTACACGCACTTTGTCCGCGTGGAATTAAAATAAACAGCTTTTCTACAATAAAGTGATTTAAGTTACTCCTTACAACACTAGTTTAGCCGTTTTAGAGATTAGTAAGCACAAACAATCGGATTTTTTTTTTATGATGATACTATATATACCTTCATTTGCATATCAAAAATAGTAAATAGCTGTTAATTTGATACTAGAAACAGACATTTCAATCTTTATTTATTTATATAGATTAGATATATTATTAAAATGATATTTTATTATAATAATTTACTTACGTTTAAACGCGCGCTTGTAATCACGCGTGATAAAGTGATAGAACGTAACGTGTAAAGGCGTTTCAAGACCATATCGTGTAATCTATATACATATAAATAAAATTGGAGTGTCTGTTTGTAATATTGAAATAACCTTTTTTTACTACATGCATATGAATATAAATACGGTACATACACTAAAATAACATTTTTTGTCTGTCTGTCTGTTTGTTCCGGCTAATCTCTGAAATGGCTGGACTGATTTTGACGGGACTGATGTTGGCAGGTAACTGATGTAATTAGGAGTAACTTATGCTACTTTTATTTTAGAAAACTCTTTTATTTTGGAAAAATAAAGTTAAATTCCACGCGGACGAAGTCGCGGGAACAACTAGTAAACTATAAAATACTCAATCAAATAAATTGCGAGCTGACTTTCCCATGCTTGTTATCGCGCGTGATAAAGTGATAGAACGTAACGTGTAAAGTTATTAAGTTATAGTATTAAGTTACAAATCTCTCAGCGTTATATTTTTAATTTTATTTTAAGGGTACACTAGATGGAGTTCCCTTGTTGGATCGTATCACGGGCATTATAATGGACCCCACTCCCGAGGACGAGGCGTGCCATAGTCCAAAACCAATATTATTAGCCACTGGAAAGGTGAGACAATCTTTGTATCTAATCATAACTAATTTAACATTCGCTATGACTATAGACGAACTCTAGACGAAGGTTTAGGACCAATGTGTGTTGCCAGTGATGACTTACGGCACAGAGACGTGGTTGCTAACTATAGGCCTTATGAACAAGCTCAGAGTCACTCAGAGGGTAATGCTCGGAGTTACTCTGTGTGATCGAATAATGAGGAGATCCGCAGAAGAACCAGAGTGATCGACATAGCCCGAAGAATTGCGACACTGAAGTGGCAATGGGCAGGGCACATAGCTCGTAGGACAGATGGCCGTTGGGGCAGTAAAGTCCTCGAGTGGCGACCACGGACCGGAAGACGCAGCGCGGGAAGGCCTCCAGCAAGGTGGACCGACGATCTGGTCAAGATCGCTGGAAGGCATTGCGCAGCGCAGGACCGATCGTCGTGGAGATCCTTGGGGGAGGCCTATGTCCAGCAGTGGACGTGTTCCAGGCTGCGATGATGATGATGCTGATGATGACTATATACTAAAAACTACTGAATGGATTTTAATGAAACTTTATAATAATCTTACTAATCTAAGCTTATATCAGAATAAGACATTATAAAAATCAAGTGGATGAAATCGCGGGTACAGCCAGTAAATAAATGAATGTACAGGCCAACGTGCCCATCCCGTGGCATCCGAACATTGTATCCGCATCTCTATTGTGGCTGGGAGGCCTGGTGGTCCTGGGGGTGCCGGGAGAGCCCACCACGATGACCGGCCGCCGCATGCGCAGCGTGGTGGGCGCCGTCATGGAAGAGAACGGGTTCGAACCCAGGGTCGTGGTGTCGGGACTCACCAACGAGTATATACATTACATAGCCACTTTTGAGGAATATCAGGTGATTTTATATTTCTTTTTATGTTTGGTAAATTAATTATAATGAAGTGGTATCAATATGATATGGATATGAAGAGAATGAAGAGTGTAGCAGTGTTGCCTACACGACTAATACAAAATTTGCTAAACTGCTGTTAAAATTTTGCCAAAATTATACTAATTGTTACAAAATAATGCTAAAAAATATGCTAACATTTTTCATTGTCAAATAAAACGCACTAAATCTTTAATAATTACAGAAAATTATAATTTTATGTTTTAATTTATAATTTGTATCATTGGTCTCTAGGTGCAAAGATACGAGGCAGCATCCACAATCTACGGGCCGCACACGCTTGACATCTTTTTGAATAAATTCGCCGATTACACTAGAGCTGTTATACAGGTAATATACACATTTGTTATTTTAGAATACCGTTATTCGATTCCTCGTACGGTACATAAATTTATTCTAGAGTATAATTGTATTGTCTGGGTGTTTTGTATGTATAATATGTATGTGTACAAAGAAAGGATTTCTTTCAGTTTTCTTGCACTATTAGCACTAATATGAATCTCATCTTGCCCCAAGCTAAGTAGAGCTCGGTTATGGGTACTAGACAACGGATGTAAATACTTAAATACTTCTTTTGTAAATATATACATAATATACATAGAAAACACCTTGACCAATTCATACAATCATACTCCTGAATAAAAAAGTTTGCACGAGAAATCGAACCCGCGACCGTCAGAAGTAAGGTTGTGTGCTAAACAGCTGGACCACCAGTCAATTATGTTATCCTAGCTGACTTCGTCTGCATCATACATACTTGGTAATCATTATTATATTTTGCCCAATTTACATAATATCTTTTTTAATTGTAGCCTACGTGTTATTCTAATGTATAATCTATATTACTGTAAAGTTTCATCAAAATCCGTTCAGTAGTTTTGCATGAAAGGGTAACAAACATCCATTTATACTCACAAACTTTCGCGTTTATGTTATGACTAGCTACTCGCCCCCACTTCGCACGGGTGTACATGTATTATATATATAAACATTCCTCTTGAATCGCTCTATCTATTAAAACTGCTTCAAAATCCGTTGCATAGTTTTAAAGATTTAAGCACACATAGGGACAGACAGCGACAGTGACTTTGTTTTATACTATGTAATGATGTTCTATTATTACCAGGATGAGGAACTTCCGGCGGGGCCTGAACCGCCCAATTACATAGACGGGGCAGTATCCTTGATTCTACCCGTCGTGTATGACAGTTCACCTCTCGCACGAGGTTTTGGAGATGTACTCCAGCAACCAGCTCCGATTGTACGACTCGGTGACACCGTCAGAACTGTCTTTGTAAGTGTATATTACATATATTTATAGACGACCTCGGTGGTCTAGCGGTCTAGCACACCGCTTTACGACCGATGGTCGCGGGTTCGATTCCTCGCAAGGCACAAACATTTGTATTCATGAGTATGATTGTTGTATAATATGTATGTTATATATTATATATATTTACAAAATAAAATATCTTTGTACATGTATCAGTTATCTTGTACCCATAACACAAGCTTTAGCTAGCTTAACTTGGGTCTAGATGGCGCTGTGTGAATTGTTCTGAGATTATTATTATTATATTGTTTACGACTGAAGTGACGTGAAGAAATACAATGAGAGACAAGTTCAGTATCTAGAACAGTGCTTCTCACATTAGCCTTTATAAAATTCTTATGCCCAATTTACACTCAGCCCGAGTGGGCAGGAAAGGGAGCACAGAAGTGAGCAGTGCGAGAGTGGAAACACTTCCCATTCCATTGGCGCTGCAACTCGCGCTGCCCAGCGCTCCCTCGATTGTCGGTTTTTCGTGCGCGAGTCAAAGGACTGACAGCACTCTCGCTCAGTTGTCGCCCGGCAATATTACCGGCAGCGCAAGTGGCAGGGGAAGTGGCTGAATGTAAACGTACCATAATGGTACACTTACATTCAGCCGCTTAGATTGTTTGTATCACTTGGAAGGACTTATCCATCCAAGTGGATGAAAGATAGACTAGGGCTATCTTTTATAAAAAAAATACAAACTGGAATAAGTACATGCAATAGGAGATGAAATTTTATGATGTTCCTTCTTATTTCATTAAGCATTACCTATCTGCGAGTGAAAGTCCCGTCAAAACATATGTATGTATATGTATATTTAAAGTATATATTATATTTATATAACATAAATTATATATGTACATAGTTTTTGTTCAGCTAATTATTTATTACAGTATTAATATCACAAATTTTCGCCATTACTGCCATACAACACTTTCTAGTTCTACCCAAAGGTAGAGAATGCCATATGGCATTAAGCTCGCCTCTTGTACACTCTTTTAAAGTGCAATAAAGAATAAAAAAATAAAAAAATCGGTACAACTATTTCAGAGAAAAGCAATGACAAACAGACAGATAGACAAAAAATATAATAAATTTTTTTATGTCACTATATCATATACTTTTATATACATTTAGTCTAAAGGCGTTATTTTCAATTACAAACTGACACATCAATTTTATTTATTTCTATAGATAGGAGCAAATCCACGGAATGATTTGAAGCAAGAATCTAGTCATGCGGTTATTGAACGCTCGGAAGATAATGTGTGGACGGTTATTGCAACTGATGCTGACTGGGAGACCAGGTGAGTTCATAACGAATAGCTGCCATTACTTATATGCTCTTTTACGCGCGATGTCTTCTCAGATCGATCCCCCGTTCAATTCAAACGGAGATCGAAATTATGACGACCTGAGCCGAGGTCGAATCCCTAGCAGTGCCTTCAAACTAAAGTCGTATCCGTCAGGCGGGAATTGGCCTTCAGCCGTAAGTCCTTCCGCGGGTTTGAAGTGACATCTGCACTCGCCCCCTATCGACCGGTGAAGCTGTAAAGGCCAGCTGCGGCCAACAGTATTTGAGTAGTCCGAAAATATAGACCACAGGTTCAAAAACTTGTTGTGTCATAGTCCCCTTGCCATATTTTTCGGTTTTGGGTAGACACCCATTCTTACCTGGTATTGATTTTTTTGTAAATTTCTAACTGTAGTAAAGTTTAGTGTTAAAAACAAAGTAAAAACAACAAGACGATTGCTGTCGTAGACCCCTTGCAATTTGTCATAAACCCCTGGGGGTCGATATAGATCACTTTGGGAAACTGATATAGACAAAGAGCAAGAGAAATACCGCGCTCGATGCCAGAGAGCGTATTCCCACGGCCTTAAATCGTGCGTGCTTTAGCGCCTTTTTGTTATAATTCATTGTGGAATCTAAATATATATAACTCAAAGATGACTGACATAGTGATCTATCAACGCACAGCCCAAACCACCGGACGGATCGGGCTGAAATTTGTCATGTAGGTAGATGTTATGAAGGGAATAAAATAGGGGTTGAAAGTTTGTATGAAACTTGTCAATTTTAAACCGATCGGGCTGAGACTTTGCATGCATAAAGCTACTATGACGTAGGCATCCCCTAAGAAAGGATTTTGATAAATTCCACCCCTAAGGGAATAAATTAACGCGAGCGAAGCCGCGGGCAAAAGCTAGTTACAGCATAAGAGGCATGAAGGGGCATGACATCTTAGTCCTATTCTTATATTATTAATACAATTTTTTTTCGTGTCATATTTGTGTCATAATATTTATCGTATTTACCTCTCTCGACTATGTTGCACTGTCCGTGGTCACTAGCTGACTGCAATAACAGCGATGTCAATGTCGATAGGTGCCAGCAGTTTTTTCGACTACTCTCACTAGATTGTCTAACGAAAGACTATTTATTATCCCATAGCTATGACCGCGGTTTCACCAACATTAAATTTTAATACATAAATTTTAATAAAAAATATAGACTATATGTTATTCTGATACATAAGCTATATTACTGTAAAGTTTCGTCAAAATCCGTTTCGTAGTTTTTGCGTGAAAGAGTAACCAACATACATACTTATAAACTTTCGCATTTATAATATTAATAAGATCTATAAATAAAGAGTGTATTTTTAATATTACAGGTTCTATTGGGAGCGAGTGTCTGTATTACTTGGTACCAGTAATGTGACGGTGGAATGGACAGTACCTGCCGTCACCACCCCTGGCACATACCGCATCGTGTACCATGGCGTCGCCCGCCTTCCTCTCGGGATAATGCGGCCGTTCTCTGGGACAAGCAATGCGTTTGACGTCACCCGATGATACTACTCTAGAAGAGATTATGAAATTTATTTAATTAAAGTTTATTTATAAGTACTTGTGTTATTAATTTTTATAATATGGATATTGCTACATGCCCTCATTTCTCTGAGTATTTTTTCCGACTACTCTAATGCTGTTGGCCGCAGCTGGCCTTTACAGCTTCACCGGACGATAGCAGGCGAGTGGAGATGGCACTCCAAACACGCGGAAGGACTTATGGAGCGGCTGAAGGTCAACTCCCGCCTGACGACCTGAGAGCGCCGAACCTAGGCTCCGGCCGTCGTAATTTTGGGGGCTCCGGCCCCCATTTGTATTGGACGGGGGATCCATCGGAGGGTGAAGGTGCTAGGGAACGAGTTTACAGCCGTCTCTAGGCTTAAACTTTGGTTTGCTATCGGTGTTTCCTTTACCGGAGAGATAAATTGAAACACAAAGTTTATTTGATTCTCTTCTTTTTTATTTTTTGACTCGGATTTGAACTCTTGACTTCTTGGGTGTAATTCGCTCACAAGATTTAGCTCTGTATTAAGCAATACGTGCGGGCAATTCTGTTTCACCAATTTATAGAATAGAATAAAAAGTATTACTTATATTTCTCTTTACTATTGTTTATGGGATTTTTGTATATAAAATTGTATCGATGACAATGCCATCGTACCTATTATTAAAATCACTAGTATCCTGATGTCTTAGACGTAATGCCGGATGGTCAGGGAGAGAAACACCTCAATGCCTACAATATTCACAATTACCTATCTCTTATTTGTTTTTATAATAATATAAAGACTTTCGCTCCTAAACTCCCGCTGCTTACGTTCAATCATCCGTCATCCACTTGTCAATGTCACATAGATTACTTCGGCTCTGGCCTCTGACGTTCCGTTTCAGGTTACATGACTATTGACTTTACCATTTTTAATTAATGGTGTTTCACACGATTGTTAACACTATACTAAATAACAAAAATAAAAAAATCAACTTAAACCAATGTAATACAAGCCAGAAAAAAATTATTACAATACATAACAATGATGATGCTTACAGTATATACATTATTATATCATATAAACTGAAAGAATATATTAATTTTCTTTTTTTTTTCTTTTCTTTCAAATTGGAGATAAATCGTTACATAAAAAAGAACAACAACAAAAACGAATACTATCTTTAGATCACTGTAAATTGATGCGTATGGAAATATGGTTACCAGCGCTGATTTTCAGTTCAGTATTTTTTTTTAATTTTTTCAATTTTTATGTCTCTTTTCAAGAAACAATAACACAATTCGTAATATGACGCGATAGGTATACAATTTTCTAATTTTACCTTGTTGAAGAAAACCGTGTGACCAGTTTTAAGACTATTTATGATTGCGATTTTATGAAATTTTATATGCTTATTCAGTAGGTCTGAGAAACTCATCTATTCTTCATGTATTATTGTCCAATCTTTTTTTATATTTCACAATGTTTTTATCAACGATTGCGGGGTCAGCTAGTAATAATCTATATTTCACAATGTTGCGTATTTAAAATCAGTATAACCTGACCAATTAAGAATGCTTGTAAGTCAGTTATCTATACATAGGTAATAGTGCATCGTGCATGTCCTTCTAAATATAGCAATGCTATCATATTGGCTGCATAACAAGTTACTTGTTGCTACGTTTAGTTACATTCAGTGGCGGCAATCAATCAAGATTATATCTTAATTGTATTGTGTTAAAAGTCATTTTGTAAGGTACGCATATAAACGATAAGTTGGTACTAAAGAAATGTTTACTTTTATACATATATAGGTACGTAATATAGATCTGGCTTAATTGAAAATTCCATACTCGTGAACTGTGCCTAGTGTTAATATAGTGTTATGTTTGTTCGTATAGAGAATAAAATGTTTTAAGAACTAAAAAACATAGTGACTATTCCGAGATACTTCCAAAATTCTATACTGGTTGACTGTATCTAGTGTTAATATGTTTTGTCATCGTTTTACATAGAATATACTGTTCTAGGAACAAAAAACAGAAGACTATCCCGACTTACTCCCAAAACGTGGTAAATGTTTTTAATTGCTACATTCTTAGAGAATTAAGTACTTATTACTTTTTTTGTATTTGCGTATTTTGGGCTTGTTTATGGAGTTTCTAGTTGAGCCTTCATTTTAAACATAATTTATCTTTTGTTTGTGGTCAATCCTTTTTTTATTTATTATGGCAACCGATGCTTGAAGGTTCGATTCCTTGCATGGTATATTTGTATTCATGAGTATGATTGTTTATATCTGGGTGCTTTCTATGTATATTATGTATGTATTTACAAAAAGAAATATATCAATTATCTAGTACCCATGACATCTGCTCTGCTTACCTCGGGACTAGATGGCGCTGTGTGAATTGTTCAGGAATATTATTATTATAATTCCCTTAATAAAAAAAAAGTTTATAAGTTACTCTTTTTCGAAATCGGTATAAAACAATGTAGCGAGCACAGCTACTTTGTAATTGCGGAAAAAAACATTGTAATAAGACAATGTATAACACCATGTTTAATGGGTGTAAATGATAATATAAGATGATAAACGTACAAACACGCAATCAGGGTTCACAAACTTTGGCTCGTGATAACATTATCTATTATGTAAGACGTTTATTATCATATGTTTAACTATTAATCTGTAAATTAATAATTAGACTAGTTACGAATCGCGGAAATTCTCGTGGGAGAGAAATGTTAACGAAGTTACTAACTCTCTACAATACATACAGCGCCATTTAGTCCCAAGCTGAGCAGAGATCTATTCAGGGTACGAGACAACTGATAATAATAATAATAATAAACCCTGTTATATCCATACCCATCCAGAAGTTTGTACAAATAAAAAAATAAATAAAAAAGAAGAGAACTGATATACTTACTTAAATACTTATTTTTTTGTACAATACATAAGACACATAGAAAACACCCAGAACGAACAAACATATGAATACAAATGTTTGAATGGAGCGAGGCATCGAACCCGCGGCTATCGAAATTAAAGCGGTGTGCTAAATCACTAGACCGAAGTCGTCAAACGATGGTAAGCAGTAACTGTTATCTACATACATACAACTACGATACACTAACGGTACCCTCAGACTAAATTCGTATCCGTCAGGCGGGGGTTGTCCTTCAGCCGCTCCACAACTCCTTCCGCGGTTTTGGAGTGCCATCTGCACTCGCCCCCTATCATCCGGTGCAGCTGTAAAGGCCAGCTGCGGCCAACAGTATTAGAGTAGCCCGAAAAAATGAAACTTTACAGTAATATAACTTATACATCAGAATAACGTATAGGCTATAATTTAAAGCGATATGTAAATTGGATCCAGATGATAGGGGATCATCCGGTGCAGCTGTAAAGGCCAGCTGCGGCCAACAGTATTAGCCCGAAAAAATGAAACTTTACAACGAAATTACGTTACGACGAAATTACGTTGTCTATATAGACGCATTTTAACCAAATAGCAAATACACATTTTCGTTTTATTTTTCGCTATTCACGGAAAAAAACGCAGTAAATGCAGTATTATATTTTATTGTCGGAAAAAATACCAGTTTTATAAACTTACAGACTGCCGTGATCATAATATTTGTATTAGATTTAGATAACAATGTGTTGGGTAATTGCTCCCCATGTTTTTATGTTCGTCTGTCAGTAGTATCCATGTGAGTTAATAGATAAGTTTCTGATCCAAGTGTAATAATAACCATAACTTTATAATTTACATTAATTAGGAGGTAAGTGGTTGTTAAATTTGATAATTTATAAATCAGTTTAAATTCAAATCGACTTTGACAGGAGACAACTGGATTCTAGTGTTTTGTGGGATTGCATGTGAATAGGTATGTTCGAATTCAGTTTCATAGGATGTGAAATTCTTGATATAAATTTTATTTTAAATAACATCTATTCGAAACAGCAACATATATAAGTTTCTTGCTCATTCTTGTTGTGATAAGTTTGCGTTCCGAATGAGTAGTAGAATAAAAAAAAATATCACTATAATAAAAATAGAACTAATCTTTATTCAAATAAACTCAATGCACTTTTGAATAGTGATATTTTTTTTAAAAATATCAATATTCAAAAGTTGAATGAATTTTTAATCCTACGGCAATATAAATAGCAAATTTAAATAAAATATATATTACTAGCTGTGCCCGTAGATTCACTCGCGTGAAAATATGTAGCCTATATGTTATTCTGATGTCTAAGCTATATTACTGTAAATTACATAATCCGATCAGTAGTTTTTGCATGAAAAAGTAACAAACATTCATCCATCCATAATATCAGTACGTTTGTGAAAATATAAATTGCAAATACGATTATGTGATCTAATTAATGGGATGAATGAATGAAAAACACTTTATTGTTCCTCTCACAGAAAGAATTTTTTTTTTATTTAATGAATAATTACATAAATTAATATGATCAAAATAATTAAATATAGAGATTTAGGATTTCTTCCAGGCAACCTTAGGATGGAGAGGAGTTAAAGGTATAACAATTAGTTGTTGGATTATTCTATCATATACACATACATATTTTTTGGATTAAATTGGATTATTCTATTTTATTTTATTAAAAGTTAGATATAAAATGTGTCCAGCGGGTGTACCTAGGATACTATAGGATAAGATACAATGTACTTTTATTTCTAGTCTTGGTTCATTAGTAATTTTAGTTGATTTTATTGTGGACCAAGACCTTTTTTCAACCATTGCTAAATATTTGTGGATACTTAATAATAAGAGATAACAAATTTACAGGAGATGCCGCGGCAAATACCTAGTTTTAATAAATATTTATAATCAACACAAATATATAGGTATTTGTGAACAGTGATTAAAAATTAGTTACAAAGAGTTATCGGCGCGCATTTAATGGTCTCTGTATTATTTAAATAAAAATTATATTATATTGTTTGATCTTTTAACATATAATTCAAGTGATTAGTATTATAGTGACCCTGTTTAAAAACAGTGACGATAAGGGATTCATAAAGGTGATTTACTTATTTTTTCTAATGTAAGTAATGTCATCTTTTCGATAGGATCGAAGAGCGTCACTCTTGTCGGTAGAGCTCTTGCCACTTTCCACAATCTTCCATCTACTCTTTAATCTCTGTTTAATTTGCTTCATGCAGCTGTGCCTTGTTCTTCCTCTCTCCCTCTTTTCTTCGATCCTACCCTCAATAATAATATATGTGGAAAGAAAGAAATATAATATGCATAGAATTTAAACCAATTTTCACCGATTATCATTTCTAGAGGTGTAAACTAAAATTTAAAAAGTTAGCTAACTTAAATTATATACATAGATACATTAAATAGTAGAAAAGTATAATTATTACGAACTAAGTAATGGCCGCTATTTAATAATTTTATTCTTTTGTTGCACTAATGCACTAATAATAGTAATAAAAATAATAATATTTGGACCGGTTTACGCAGTTCAAAATACAAGTATAAACTAGAAGAAAGAAAACATTATGTACCTAAAACCAAAATATAAATTTATATATTCAAATTTAAAATCAAAATAGCTTTATTCATGTAGGTATATTACATACTTATGATGTGTCAAATCTACCGTCAGTTCGGAATGAATTCGAGCTGAGAAGAACTGACAAGAAACTCGGCTCTTATTCTTTTCAAAAGAGCCTACATGATTACAAAATATTATAAAATACAGATTAATTTCTAAATTCAATTAGGGTGCATGTAGTGACCACCTGCATATGCATTTTGGTCAAGAAATCATTTTATCAGTAGACAGCTACTTAGTTTATGATTTATAATATATTCATCAAATCTTTTTCAGCTGAAACACAACAAAATGTCTTCAAACAAGCCTGTAACTAAGAAATTAATAAACACTGTGGAGAGTTGCGTCGATGACAATCTGCGAGGTATAGTTACAGCATTCCCACAGTTGAGACTGCATCCTAAACATCGTGTGATCACCGTCCGAACCAAGGTAAGCAACTAGAAAAAACTAAGTCAATCAAAATCAAACTTTATTCATGTAGGTCTATAACAGAATTATGATATATCAACATTATTAGGAACTACCCTACTAGGACTCAATAAAAACTGTGGCAATTTAACCCTTCTTCTTAATAAATATTTGTCAGCGCTGTGATATGATTTAGTAATACAACAGATAACATATTATTACATAGTAATTTTATATATAAAATTCTCGTGTCACAGTTTTCGTTCCCATACTCCTCCGAAACGGCTTGATCGATTCTCATGAAATTTTGTGAACGTATTGAGTAGGTCTGAGAATCGGCCAACATCTATTTTTCATCCCCCTAAAAATTAGGGGTAGTCCACCCCTAATTTTTATTTTATTTTAAGGCAAAACAACGTTTGCCGGTACAGCTAGTACTACAGTATAAATGCTGAGTGGGAGTCACATTCAGTGTCTCTCATGTCTCTCGTTACCTTTTATTATTAATTTTATTGTTTATACATATTTTATACATATTATATATATTGTATATATATCTCCCTTTTTACGGGGGTAATACGTTCAAACACACTGACCTTGGTCAAGCGTGGATGAGTTTAAAAGTTGAGAAGTATGAGAATGCATGTGATTACGAAATAAATTTCCTTGCAATACGGCATGTGTTAACAATTTTTTATTAAAGGATTGTTACTAGAAGAGTAGTAGCTACAAGTGTAGAACAACAATAGATATAAATACCATAATCGACGGTGGATGATACAGACAGAAAACTATGTTATCGGACCTGATAACTTTAATTATGTAAGCATGGAAAAAAACCTGTCCAGTACACAGAGAGGATGATATGTCTTTGTTTTAAAAACAAAAACCATAGACAGATAACCTTTTAGATGGAGTCGAGGAGGTTGGGGCTACAGCCTATGATCTGTCGACTCGTTTTCTGCAAGCATTATGGTATCCACACGGATAATTTGAACATTGAAACTAGCGATTTTAATTCTAAGCAATTATTGCAAATATTGATAAATATGTTATGTGAATATTTTGATTACTTTAAAAAGGAAAAATATTGTCAAAATAACACATTTAGACAAACTAGAGGTCGCACAGTGGTCGAAATTCAACGATAATAAAAAATACATTATATCTATATACAATTATATAATCTTTGAACCAGCAATAATAATAAACAAAATAGAATATCTATGCGTGTGTGTGTGAAATACGGGGTGTGTATTTTGTTTATTAATGTAATGTATTTTTTATGCAAAAATAAAAAAAAAAAATGTCCTTCCTCTGTATATAAACTATAAGTGTGCAAAATAGCGTACTCCTCCGTGCGTGCAATTTTTTAAAAAGTTATACAAAAATAATGGTAGATATCGATCAATTTCACGGAGCACCAAAGCACACTGAAACTGGCAGCGTTGCGTCGCGATTTTGAATAAAAACAATCGCAGTACTTTGGCGCCAAGGTTTAGATATTATATTCTATGGTAAAATGTTAAATAGGATTAGGAAGGAATATTTATAATATAGGAAATTTTGATATAGAATTAGAGTATTTCGTTGTGAAACTGTATATTTGATATAATATTTCTATTTCTACAGACTGATACTGGAAGAGTGGCTGTGATTAGTGGAGGGGGTTCAGGGCACGAACCATTTGCTGCAGGTAATAAAAATAACTAATAACTGCCTTACGACACGATCATTCACGATTCCCCTCCCTCACGCCCCCTCCGATCGAGCCCCATCCAATTCAAACGGGGATCGAAATTACGACGGCTTGAACCGAGTTTCAAACCCCTAGGGGTACCCTCAGACTAAGGTCGTATCAGTCAGGCGGGAGTTGGCCTTCAGCCGCTCCCTAAGTCCTTCCTTTGGAATAGAATGCCATCTGTACTCGCTCCCTATCGTCCGGTGAAGCTGTAATATTAAACATAAACTAGATATATATATAATGGTTTTTCTTTTGTTCAGGGTTTGTCGGCGCTGGTATGTTGGACGGAGCTGTGGCTGGTGGTATATTCGCGTCGCCACCGACTGGAAATGTTTTGTACGCTATATCACATCTCCACAAATACAACTCAGGTAGCCAATTAATGTTTTCATTTCTATTTAGCACAGATCGTTTAAAGTCGAAATTAAATGGTAATAATATTTTAGTAGAAATGAACTAACTTAAAAATCATTATGTGCTGACAATATAATCTGATTATACGAGAAATTAATGCGTAAATTTGTAGATTGCCACATGCCTCTTCCTTGTTAATGTGTATTTACTTAAAACAACATTTATTTAAAAGAGCAATACCCAACTCAAGTTTCTTGCTCAATCTTTTGTGATTGCTCATTTTTCTTGATTGTTTCACAACTTTAATGGCCGGTCGTTAATTAAAACTTTACCATATTAAAGTGCTTTTAAAGAAGGCTATTTAAATAAAAATATAAGAATTTACTGTGATACTAGCTGTCTGTCCCGACTTCTAACGAATTTACATGTATTATACACGTAAACATTTCTCTTGATTCACTCTATCTATTACTGAAAACTGCATTAAAATCCATTGTGTAGATTTATAAGATCTAAACGTATTGACAGAGGGAGTGATTTTTACTATGTAAACATTTTTGAATTATTATTATTTGAAATTTTTATTTTCTCTATTAATTTTCAGGTGGTGTAATTGTAATATTAGGAAATTATACAGGAGACAGATTGAATTTCGGGAAAGCAGTCGAGAAAGCAAGAATTAACGGCATCAAGGTATCGTCATAGATTTCTTGATGATAAATTTAATATAAAGATATTATACTATATAAAACATATTACGCTGACCCCAAATAAATGGGATAAGGAAGAAGCATAATAATGATGATACTATATAAAGATAGTACTTTAATCCACATAAATATATGATTCCTGTTATGAATGAAGAATCGTGGAAAACATTGGAGTAAGAAAATTGAGCATGACGTCAGGTCAGTTAGCCCTATCTGAGAAATTCACCAGGAATTTATTATGGATTCCAGGGGGAACCGCGTGTAGGTCAACCTGACTTGGTACATTGGGGTCAACAGTTCATATTATTAACACTCCCCTTCTCACAATCTAGGGTTGCCTGCTACCTCCTGAAAGAGTGCAAGTGAACCTCTTTGCCTTTGTCAATTTAAAGGGCAGCAACTTCTGACTGGCTGTTCAGCTTCTTGAGCAGGAATTATCGTTAATGAATTGTTTGCAGGTCGAACCAGTAATAATTGGAGAAGATGTCGCTTCTAGTAATAATAAGACTGGAGGGAGAGGAATTTGTGCCGAAGTCTACATATATAAGGTACAGACGCATTTACAAAATATATGTATGTATATACGCATTTACAAAAAACAATGTATCTTTGTATTTCCTTTAGTTGTTTACTGCCCATAACACAAGCTCTGCTTAGCTTAGGATTACATGGCACTGTGTGAAGCGTTTTGGGTTATTTTTATAGAATAACTAGACCCGGCCACGCGTTGCTATGGCTAACAGTTTCTTTATATATAAAAATAATTTGCAATAAAATAATATTGTATTTATTGAGATGTAAGCTATCCTATCTTTCAAGTTGGATCAAATTGCAGACAATGTGCAAATCAAATTTACTATCGGTTCAGTAGTTTAGGAGACACGAAATTTTTATATATAAAGATAATATAATAGTGTTGGGATTTCTATAATTATTATTATTTATATATTATTAAGTTTATTTGTATAAAAATTATTTCTATTCTTCTATTGTCTTTTGATCTTGAATTATTGTTATCAACAGCTTTGTGGTGCGATGTCAGTGAAAGGTTACGATCTGACAACAATCTACAAGATGACGACGGACGTGAGCAAGTGTTTGGCGACGCTAGGCGTTTGTTTGAGTGCTTGCTCCTTGCCTGGTAAGTAATGGGTTGGAGGGAAAATTCTATCGTCTTTTAAAATGTACTTTTGCGATCCATGTTGGACAATAATTCACATTTAATAAGTCGAGAAATTACGGAAAAGTTTGCATTCATCATATTTCATTTTTACTTCAGATTTTTTTTACTGCAAACTAATGACATCATATGGAACAATATATCCATCAACGAAAAGTACTGCTTTGGTTGTGGTGAGGTAAGGTCCATTGACTGGACCTGTCCTGTCCCACCCACTAGCGTTTCTTGCCGGTTTTTCTCAACTGAAGTATCTGGTCGAATTAGTCGTTAGAGGCAGTATATAAAATTGTAACGTACATAACATTATAAGAATACTCTTCGTCACACCAGTATATAAAATATACGTTTGTCCCACAACATTTCTTAAGACTTTCAGGTATTTCGAGTATCCTATTCCTTATATCTCTTGAACTATTAATTCAACTTTAGGATCTTATATTTCTCTCCTAGCTTTATTGATTTTAATTAGGGAAGCAATAATTAACCAACAGACAGTACTATTTCTCTTAAATGTATCCTGCTCTCTATAGGCCAGCCTCCGTTATTCGAAATCGCGCAAGATGAAATGGAACTAGGGGCTGGAGTGCATGGAGAAGCCGGCATCGCCAAGATGAAGATGGGAACCTCTAAAGAAGTCGTGGGACTGTTACTAGATAAGGTTGATTGGCGTTTCATCCAAGAATTAGATGGATAAGATATTCAATACAAGATATTAATTCTAGAAAAAGAGTGGGGTATATACGGTGCTCTTTGTTATTTTTTGGGCATAATTCAGTGGCGCCCTTTATCAACTTTTTTACAATAGCGGCGGCAACCGGCATTTTGCATATCATGATTTATTATAAATATTGTTTTATTAATGGGATATTAATAAAACAATATTTATAATAAATCATGACATGTAATAGAGATATTAATATGTTCTACAATGTTTGTGACTATGTCAATCTCCACGAGATGCGTGGATGTAATCGTTGTAACCAATTAAAAACACCAAATTGTAAATAATAGTCCAAGAAATTATGATTTAAAATATGATATGGCCAGTTTTGGCGCAATATATAAAAATAAGTCCGCAAATACGTGAATTTTGAAAGAAATTTTGATTTTAGTTACCAAAAAATAGCTAAATAACACCAGATAATGAAAAAATTAAGAGCACCTTTTTTATGCAGAATTGTTTTTCTCTATAACTTTTATTTGAAACATTTTATCGTATTTCCTATCGTTATAGAGTTAGGTATTTTAAAAAAAGGTGTTTTACAAATATTTTTTTAATTTTTTCATCCCTTTACCGTCATCTTTATTTTATTGTTATTGCGCTAAAACTGGTCATATCATGGTTTAATTTAAAATTTACTGGACTAATCACAGACAGCAGATAATAGAAAAAAATTAAAAAGATCTGTTTTGTGCAGATTGTTTTCCTCTACAACTTTTATTTGAAAGATTTTATCATATTTCTTATCGTTATCGAGTTATATTGAAAAATGAGGTTTTCAGCTCTTTTTATTTTTTTCATACCTTTCCCGTCAACTTAAATCAACATTTCTTTCGGAATATTATTATTCATATTTGCGGACTTATTTTTATATATTGCGCCAAAATTGGTCACATCATGGTGTAAATCAAAATTTTCTTGGATTATATATTCTAATTATATATCAACGGTGTAACAAATATTGAAGAACAGATAACAAAAGACACTCGTAATCATGAAAACATAGCGTTCTATATTTGAACATTAGAAAATTAATTATTGAAGAGATTATAATACTTATTTCTGTTGAAATATCCAACACTATTTGTCATTATTTAATGTCTTGTTTTTTCGGTGCAGATAATTGCGCATTTGAGATTGGTGGCTGGTGATAGAGTAACCGCGATGGTGAACAATTTGGGAGGAACCTCTATTTTGGAAATGAATATTATTAGCGCTGATATCAAAGAATATTTAGGTAAGTTATTTCATATTCGGTTGTCATCAAAGTTAATGAGAGGTCTTAGAAAATTATATTAAAACTAACCCTTAAAATCCATCATTACCTTACCGTTAATTCTATATACTTATTTAATGACAAAATACCCTTTACTTTTAATTTTATTACTATTACTAGCTGTACCTGTGGTTCATCATCGTGAAATTTATAGCCTATATGTTATTCTGATGTATAAGCTATATTACTGTAAAGTTTCATCAAAATCCATTCAGTAGATCTTGCGTGAAGAGTAACAAACATCCATCCATACTCACAAACTTTCGCATTTATAATATTAATAATAATAATATTATCGTTGATTTTATTTTATTTTTGGTAGCAATAAGCTTGGTGTCGCTGCATGCATTTGCATTACCCTCGGGCTGCTACTGAAAATCAGTGTTTTGCTCATGTAGCAAATTGTTCATTGAGTAGCTCAACCCATTGTGTCCTAACTATCTATTCGCCCCGGCTTCGCATGAGTATACATGTATTATATATATAAACCTTCCTCTTGAATCACTCTATCTATTTAAAAAAACCGCTCCAAAATCCGTTGCGTAGTTTTAAAGATTTAAGCATATGATATGTATATTTTTTTAATGTTTATTTTTATGTTCTTATTTTACGTGTAAGTTAAAGTGTATTGTGTTTTGTTTTTTATAATTTTCTTATACGTTTATACTTATAGAATTTTGTTTGTAAATATTTTGAAACCAATATAGATTTTATCTATCTACTTCGCAGACAGGAAACAAATAAAATTAGAACGTTTATACTCTGGCCACATGAAGTCGTCCCTTGAAATGCATGGGTTCAACATTTCGGTGTTGCATCTGACCAAGGAAAATGGAGACTTCTGGTTGGGACTTCTTGATGCTCCCACTACCGCTCCAGGTTGGCCTGCTGGCGAATTCTCTGTAGGACATCATGATAATATTGGAGACGATGAGAATGTGCTGCAAAGTTTTACACGCAAGGTAATGTCAAACCATATACTCACATTTTGAAGAGCTACACGCAAGTTTTTGCTCGATCTTCTTGTGATGAGTCTGCTTTGTGAATGTGCGGTAGAATAAAAAAAAGTGTTATATGACTAGTCAAAAGTGATTATATTAAGTTTTTTTGAATTTAGATTATTTCTATTTGTATGTCTACTCAATCATATATATTTTATTTACAAGCTGGAAGATGTACCTATTATTGTTAGGCTTTGCTATTTTTTGGTGTAAATTGTAAAGAAGCTGAGGGTACACCTAAAGGTGTAAGTTTGTGGCAACCGTCGCCTATATACATGGATAGCATCACAGCTATCAGATCATAATGTGACGCTCGTTGCCATTCCGAAGGACTAAGAACTTTTATGCTTCTGTACCCTGTTATTTTACTACCATCTCTCAACCGAAATACATCTTACAAAGCTTGGTCACTGAGTTGGATGACGCAGTTTTAGTACAAAATCTATCAGTGATATAAATTAAACTAAAATTGTTTTTATGATAACAGGTTCTAAAAGCAATCTTTATAATATTATAAACGCGAAAGTTTGTAAGTATGGATGTTTGTTACTCTTTCACGCAAAAACTACTAAACGAATTTTGATGAAACTTTGCATTAAGATAGCTTATGCATCGCATCAGATAACACTGTTTCTATCCAGGTAACTATTCTTACAGGCTACAGTTGGACCGTCGTTGTCAAAACAGCAGCAGGATATCTTCCGAGGATGCTTGAAGTCAGCTGCCGAGGAGCTGGTGCAGAGCGAAGTGTTGCTAAACAGACTAGATTCTGGATGTGGGGATGGAGATTGTGGTATTACCATAAAGAAGTTTGGACAGGGTAAGTTACCTTTGTCACAGCCTTAGAGAAGAGTAAGTTCTGAAGTTCTAAAAGCAAAGCGAAGTTTTGCTTAACAGACTTGATTCTGGCTGTAGTGATAGAGTTTGTGGTATTACCATAAAGAAGTTTGGGCAGGGTATACCTTAGAGAAGAGTAAGTCCTAAAGTTCATGGGAAGTGTTCTGTTCAATTTGTGGCAACTGAATTGTCTATGCTCTTGCTCATTGTATTCATCTTAAACTACAGTTTCAATACTTTATTTTATGTATACCTAATTAGTGAAGTCTGCAGATGTTCTACTCCGAAATGCAGCACCACATATCGGGTCCTATAATGTTTTTAGACCTTCCAGGGAGGCAATTAAATATACAATTTAATGCAAATTGGTTTATTAGGAGGAGTTAGTAGATAACGTACCAAAAATATAGATATTTTGTGCTATTTCATTTGAGAAAAGTAACAGCAGTTTCTTCTTCTGCTCGTATCAAACTACATTCTGACTGTAGATTGGACTTATAAAAAGAGTCTGTAAAAGATTTACGTATAAAATTTATATTATTTTGTTTAATTCCGCGACCATTAGCGTGTTTGAAATCACAAATATTCAATGCGGAAATCTGACCACCTGAACTTCCCTGTTAGTGATCAAATTCCGACGTTATTGGATCTACACCCATATTGTGATACGTGTTTGGCCTCTAAACGAGACATCATCAGACATTGAATAGAGTTCGGATATAATATGTAAGCCTGGCGTTGACTCAAATCAAAATATCTTTAAACTTGGGTCCAATACAGACTCTTATGATATGTCAAATCTACCATTAGTTCAGAGTGCTTTGGAGCTAAGAAGAATAGATAAACTCTCAAACTCAGCTTTAATTCTTTTCAAATAAGTTTGTACCAGATTAGAAAAATACAGATTCAATAAAATATATGTAATAATAAAGATATTATCACTTGATTTGTAGTCACTATCCTATGTTTTGTTTTTAAACTCCAACGATAATTTATAATTACAGCTGTCCTAGAATATTTAAGTCGGGGCGCCGTGGAGTACCCATCAAACGTGCTGTGGCAACTGTCAGAGATAGCAGAGACTGACATGGGTGGTACATCAGGTGGAATCTACAGCTTGGGTTTATCAGCAGCCTCGCAGTCATTTGCTAGGTGATTATCTTGTTCTTACCACGAGACCGAACAAAGTTAGCAGACGATGGAAGCACACAGTAGAGACGGGTTCCGATACCCAGTTGTTCCAATTTACATATGCGACGCTCCGTCCATCAGATTCCGAAAGAATTCATTTTGGATTTAATGTGCAATTTTTAAGTCCATGTTTCAGAAAAATGTAAAAATATGGAGACTGTAAACTTATACTCTTTCACAATAATTATAGATCCATTTAATAACGGCTGCGCGTTTCGTTTGTGATGCAGACGAAGTTTCGCGCGTCAGCTAGTATTATACATATATTCAGCATATAATAATAAGGGTTCTGTTATTGTAGCGAGCGAGCGGTAACTCCAGCAGCGTGGTTAGCCGCGTGGGAGAGTAGTATGGCAGCGATAACCAAGTATGGAGGGGCTGAGCCTGGAGACAGGACCATGGTAAAATTTTGATATTATTTAAACAATAGATATGGATGTGGATTGTTATAAGGGCAGAGGAAAACCGAAAAAAGATGGATGAACTGTGTGAAAGATGATAAGGTAAGAAAGAGAATGCATATGGTAAATAACGAGATGCGAACATGAATGGAGAGAAAAACATATTACGCCGACCCTAAATAAATGGAATAAGGAAGAAGCAAATGAGATGATGTATAGAGGTGACTATTCCATAAATTTTACATCAACAGTATTACGAATTCCATATATATATGCGATAGTCACACGATCTGTCATGGCCTTCCAGACAGAGACGAGATATTTACGCGAAATTATATTATTAATAATAAATGATAAAAAAAGAGATATGATTGTAGATGTTTAAATACAGCAGAGCACAGTGACAGAACAAACATATTAAAATAAACACATAAAAAAACAAAACAATAAAAAGAATATGTTAAATATGGATAAAGTATATACAAAACTACCAGTAATTCTCATTGTAACTCTAACAATATTACTATAGATATGTTTATTATACCATTACACTTACTTATTGCAGTTGGACAGTCTACATGCAGCATACGAGGCTTTCAGACAAAACCAAGGCGTTGACTTGAAACAAGCACTATTGAAAACAAGCGAAGCTGCAGAGAAAGGCGCGAAAGAAACGGCTAGCAGGATAGCCAGGTAATGGCACCAACATATCTGATTTATTTCTGACTGAAAAGAACACATCTAAATATATATAACTCAAAGGTAGCTGACGTAGTGATCTATCAACACACAGCCCAAACCGCTGGACGGATCGGGCTGAAATTTGGCATGCAGGTAGATGTTATGACGTAGGCATCCGCTTTTTTGATTAATTCTACCCCCAAGGGGATAAAATAGGGGATGAAAGTTTGTCAATTTTAAACCGATCGGGCTGAGACTTTGCATGCATAAAGCTACTATGACGTAGACATCCCCTAAGAAAATATTCTCATAAATTTCACCCCTAAGGGGATAAATTAACGCGAGCGAAGCCGCTGGCAAAAGCTAGTTGTTTTCATATGCGTGGAATTATTGAATGCATCTTTTTTATCCTGTGCAAAATCTTCAAAAGACCATTCAGTCTAGAGGGTTGACGAGGTGGTGCTTGGTGGGATTCTTACCCACTAAAAACCACGGTGTATTGACTGAAGGCATCGCCAGAGGTTCAAGGCTCAGATGACTTTTCGACGATAATTTGGTGGCTTAAAATGGGGCAGGTGTAATGTATGTAACACTAGCGGTTCACAAACTGTCGTCTCGCGCCAAGCGTACAGTGGCCCAGTCAGCTTAGGGGTTTCACCTCGGTATGAAAGATAGGCTGTAAATTGTTATAAACTAGTCCATAAAAACTTTAAATTAAACCATGATAAAAATCTGCGTAAAACATTAAATTTTTCTGGCATTTAATTTTAAACAACAGCAGATAATGAAAAAATGTTTCATACAGATTTTTTTCCTCTATAACTTTTATTTGAAACATTTTTTCATATTTCTTACCGTTATCGAGTTATTTTTTAAAAAGGCGTTCTTCAACCCTTTTTTAATTTTTTCATCCCTTTCTGTATATTATCATTCACGTATTTGCGTACTTATTTTTATGTATTGCGCCATGGTTTAATTTAAAATTTTACTGGACCTTTGTTTTGTCGTTCTAAAATCTATCTATATATATCTATATCTAAATCTAAAATGTCTCAAAAGTCACAATAGCCATCACGTCCGCGTCTTAAGATATTGAAGGTCAGAGATTATAAAAATCAGTTTTTCGCGAATATCTCGCTTTCTATTACTTAAATGAGATTTGCATCTATTATGAAAGTTGTAGAGTATAGAATTATCTACAATTTTTGTTTGAACTTTTTCAAGAGGGGAGATATAGGTATGTACCTCGCGTAGGTGTCGCGGAGTAAAGGCGTGGAGTTGTGGGTAACGAGCCGATATTATGTCGATAACAACTTATTTACCAGGAGATAAGAAGACTTAAATAACAAATAAGTGAATGGGATGTCTTCCAAGGAGAAACCATGCAAATTAAGTTTTTTTTTGTGCAGGGCGGGCCGCGCTTCGTACGTGGCAAAGGAGTACTTACAGGATGAGGACGCGGGCGCCCGCGCTGTTGCCATTTGGCTGAAGGCTGTTATCAAATATATGCTCAGTAAAATATAGTTCTATTGTTTTATTGGCGTTTGGTTTGGGTTGCCATTGAGGTGAGAAGTTTAGCTGCGTTCACCTAGCGCCATCTATTACCAAGCTAAGCAGAGCTTGTAATCATCATCATCATCATCATCGCAGCCCGGAAGACGTCCACTGCTGGACATAGGCCTCCCCCAAAGATCTCCACGACGATCGGTCCTGTAATATCTTGACCAGATCGTCGGTCCAGACTCGAGGACTTTACTGCCCTAACGGCCATCTGTCCTACGAGCTATGTGCCCTGCCCATTGCCACTTGTAATATGGGTAGACAATTGATATAAACACATAGATAATTTAAATTTGCAAATACATATTTAATAAACTTAGATAATACCCAGAACGATACATACATACTTATGAATACACATGTTTGTACCGAGCGAGCAATCGAACCCGCGACAATCGGAATTAAACCGTTAGAGCACTGAGACCGTCATACAAACATAACTACGTCTTATTAATGTTATAAATGCGAAAGTTTGTGAGTATGGATGGATGTTTGATTAACAAACATAAACAATAACATTTCAACATTTCACGCAAAAACTACTGATATATCAGAAAAATCCCTTCCGTGGATCGAAATTACGACGGTCTGAGCAGAGGTTCGAATTCATGCTCTCAGACTCGGATACGACTTATCCGTCAACCCCTAATGGTGCCCTCAGACTAAAGTCGTATCCGTCAGGAGGGAGTTGGCCTTCAGCCGCTCCATAAGTCCTTCCGCGGGTTTGTAGTGCCCTCTGCACTCGCCCCCTATCGTCCGGTGAAGCTGTAAATGCCAGCTACGGCCAACAGCATTAGAGTAGTCCGATAAAAAAATATTCCATGCGAGTGAAACTACGGGCACAGCTATTTCCAAATAAAACAAATACATTAACAATTATTTTTTATTAATCACAATGCAAACATCTGTTCTAAAATATATAAATATATTAAACATTATCAATAATTACTCTAATTAACGTAACTATAGACAAATGGCGAAGGAATCTTTTGTACTTTGTATAAAAGTGCCAAAAGCAAATCGTCGGCTAAATAGAAAAATGGCAGTACATTTATTACAAGACAAGCATTTAAAGTTTTTTTTTATTTATTTAAATTATTTTTTCCTTGGAAGTTTTAAATTTACACAGTAGTATTATATATCATTTTAAAAGTATTTAGATAATGATTAAGACGGCGTGGTTAATTTATATTTTGCATTATAAAAGGAGGAAATTCTAGCTTCTAATTTTGAAAAATTTCATTTTTCTATTTAATCGACGAAATGTAAAAAAATATAATGTTTGAATAACTATTTTTTTAAATGGCAGGACGGATTTGAATAAAATTCTGTGTACATATAGATCATATTGTGTAATTATAATGTTAGATGAGTATTGTATTCGTACACTAGTTTCGTTCATATTTAGTTGTGTTGCTACCCTGTATATTTTTTATTTTTTGTATATCTTCAAAATTTGTGGAAAAGAACGCGGTTGAAAATCAGCGCCGCACAAGAGTATCCTGTCGGCAGACGTTGCACTGGTTCCTCTTGCCTCCTTTAGAAATATATTTAAATTAAGTATAATTTAAATATATTTCTTTCGTGTAATTTATTTGGCAGTTATAAATTATTCTTCAAAATCAAGTTCGAAATATCTTTATTCATTTATGTCTATTACAGACTCCTATGATATATCAATTCTACCATCAGTTCAGTTTCGAGATGAGATGAACTGACAAGAAACTCAGCCCGTATTCTTTTCAAATAATTGTTGTATATTTTTACAATAATACAAATTAATTTTAAATTCAAATTTGGGAGAATAGAGTGACTACCAGCATATGCTATCGAAAACTCAGTCAGTTCGGAATGATTTCGAGATGAGAAGAACTGACAAGAAACTCAGCTCGTATTCTTTTCAAATAATTGTTGTACATGTTTACAATAGTACAGATTCATTTTAAATTAAAATTTGGGAGAATAGAGTGACTACTAGTATATGATATTGCAAAAGCAAAAAATCTAATCAGTGTTCGTAACCTGAACAGACCAGTCCAGCTTACGAAAACTGATTAGACTTTTTCCTTTTGCAATAGCATGCTGATGATTATTCTTATATTTGGGTTACGGCCACAGATTATATTATTTCCTTTCAAAACAAATGTAGCATATGCTGGTAGTCACTATATTCTCTATACTCTGTATTCACTATACTCTCAATTTTGAATTTAAATGAATCAGTATTATTTTAAACATGTTCAACAATTATTTGAAAGGAATACGAACTGAGTTTCTTGTCAGTTCTTCTCGACTCGAAAGCACTCCGAACTGACGGTGGATTTGACATATCATAAATCTGTTATGATCTATAACAGATAGATAGATATACAACTAAAGTAATCTATCATGTATATCTAGACAGATATACATGATAGATTACTTTAGTTTGTTATTGGTGTTTCGGTTACCGGGAATCAGTCAATATAAATTATCTATGTCGTGGTAGTATATCGCTGAACCGATACTCTGAACGAAATTATATTTTTTTACAGAGTAATAGAAGAAATAGAATTTGAGAAACGGATTCCTCTGCCATTTGTCTGTAGACACTAGATTTTGTATCTGTTATTGCCTATATTCTTATATAAATATATATATTGATCACAGAGAATCTGTGTTCATTTTTTTATTATAACCAATTATTAATACTAGTGGAAATTTGACCATAAATAAATTAAATTCTAGGTTTAAACGTTACTAAGTTTATATTGTCAAAAACGGTTATATAAATGTACTAGCTGACCCAGCTAACGTTGTTATGCCATATAAATTAATATCGCTATTAGAAAATAGGGGTCGGTGATAGAAGGGTGAAAATTTAGGGTTGTGTGTATTTTTAATGCCACATAACAAAAAAATATTTTTTTGTCGAATAAATGAAAACATTTTTTTGGGCTGAGTCACTCTTAAAACTTAGGGGCATAAAAATTAGTTATAAGCCTATACTCAGACCTACTGAATATACATATAAAATTTCACCAAAATCGCTCAAGCCGATTCGGAGGAGTTTAGTAACAAACACCGCAGGTGGCATAAAAGCATACGGCCCATCTGATGGTTAACGGTTACCGTAAATGTTATTAGTTGACAATACATTTCTTTCTTTAACCATACACCATGTAGTAAAATAAACATATATACATAATTACTGGGGATTAATACAATATTTCACCGCTAACTGCAACAAGGTACCAAGTTCAGTAACAGCTTATCACATCATACATAACGTTACAGTGATAAGGTGATATATATGCACGCTACAAATGAATGAATTTCTACTATTTAATTTAAAAACTTATTGTTATAATATAGCACTCCGCGTTTTCTATTACAATTAATAATAAATACAATAAATATATTAGTAGTCTGAAATAAATGAATTCATTAAAGAAAAAAGATTTTTATCTGTTCTCTTTGCGCAGTAAAATGCGTTATCTATGCGAAAGGAGTAACTATTGTCTATGTATATAAACATCACCTCGTCGCATGTTATACAAGCGTAACTTTAGAACTATTGGGAGGAAAGATGATTGTTAGTAATGTGGACTGATGATCCATTGCTAGCAATGTACCATGTCAGGTTGATATCCACGCTGTTACCTTTGAAAACCATCAAATAAATTCCTGGTGAATTTGCCTGGATGTGCTTACTGACCTGACTTCTCATCTTATCAGCCTCCATTGCTCCGCCAGCGTAAACCGTTAGCGCAGGCGGGTGTACCATTCCATTATTTTTAATAATTATCATATCATTAAAATCTTGTGTAAAATGTTTGGTGCAATAGTTTATAAATAAATAAATATAGAGCATTTATTATAATACGAGTTGCAGGAAGTAACTGGATGAGAAGTGCTGAAGATCGTGCCCAGTGGCGTTGGGAGAGGCCTGTGTCCAGCAGTGGACTGCAGTGGCTGATGATGATGAGCAGATAAAAAACTTTAGAACTACTGTGTCTATGCTCTCGTGTACTGCAATCAATAGCACATAATTTAATTCGACCTTTTGTAACAATAAGGCTGTATGTCCCCAATTTTTCTCCATACAGAAATGCTACTATGACAATTTTCTATAAAAACTTATTAAACTCGATGAAATTTTATTTATAAGATAGGGCAAATAATATCAACGTTTCACACTAGTTATATGTTCTTTAAACAAGTTTGTTTAAGAATTACACGTAACTGAAAAACAAAATTTTTAGATAATTCGTATGAAGAAAATAGTATAAAAATTTGTAAAATTAGATATACACGTGACTAAAAATACGATTTTCACTAAAGAAGGACCTACCTTTAGTTCATTAATATCAATTCAAGAAAAAAAATTATTTTTTTAAATTTGATAATTACTAAACATACGATTTTCACTAGAAAAAAGGACCTATTTAGATTATTCATATAAACAATCAAAGACAGTATAAAAATTTAAAAAAAATATACAAAACATTGGAATTATATAGAATTTTCAGAATAAAGAAAAAAACGTCTTAATATTTACTGTAACAATAGAGTAAAGCCTGGTAGAGCGGAACGTCAAAAGTCAAAAATACGGCAAATTTCAATTCAAAGTATTGCTATCACTCTGGGGTGAGAGTGGACGCAAGGATTCTGAATAGAGATAGAAGGAATACTGGACAATACCTACATCGCAATTTTATTATGTGAACACACTCCTCTTAAGATCAAATGGGCAATTAAAAAGTAATTACTTAAGGAGAAGATCCACTTTCAAATCCGATTGAAATCATAAACTTCCGTTGTCTTCTATCTCGCTTACACATACATTCTTAGATCATATTTATTTTGCGTTCATGTCGCAATTTATATGAGTACCGATAGAAGGAATACTGAAGAATACGTACAATGTAATTTTATTATGTGAACACACTCCTCTTAAGATCAAAAGGCAATTAAAAACTAATTACTTAAGGAGAAGATACACTTTCAAATCCTATTGAACTCAAAAACGTTGTCTTCTATCTCGCTTACATACATTCCAAGATCATATTTATTTTGCGTTCATGTCGCAATTTATATGAGTAGAGATCGAAGGAATACTGAAGAATACATAAAATGTAATTTTATTATGTGAACACACGCTCCTAAGATCAAAAGTCAATTAAAAAATAATTACTTAAGGAGAGGATCCACTTTCAAATCCGATTGAAATCATAAACTTCCGTTGTCTTCTATCTCGCTTACACATACATTCCAAGATCATATTTATTTTGCGTTCATGTCGCAATTTATATGAGTACCGATAGAAGGAATACTGAAGAATACGTACAATGTAATTTTATTATGTGAACACACTCCTCTTAAAAAAGAACTGTCTTTGTCAATTTGTCTAGCTTATTTCAGAATAAGTTAGAAAAGTTATTTTAATTTCGTCTACTGTTATACGTGTGACGCAGAGTTTTACCAGATCAAATGGCAATTAAAAAATAATTACTTAAGGAGACACATGGATCCACTTTCAAATCCGATTGAAATCATAAACTTCCGTTGTCTTCTATCTCGCTTACACATACATTCCAAGATCATATTTATTTTGCGTTCATGTCGCAATTTATATTAAATTCTTCTAACCAATAACAATGTACTATAATAGTCTATGTTCTACTCGATTTGGTATCTGATTGGTCGGGCCAATCTGTAGGGTGTTTGGGGGAACAAGGGGGGTAGGGTCTTTGGGGGAACAGGGGTTTGTTAATAATGGGGAGAAATTCAAATAATACTAATAATGTAGCCTGGCAATTTCTACAGTTTCTTCTGGAAAACATGTTTAATTCTAGATGAATTGACCAGGACCTGATTTGATCCATGAGGATAAAGGTAGATTTTTTTTTATACTATGCTGATGGCAAACAAGTATACGTCCCATCTGATGGTAAACGGTAACCGTAGCCTATGGACTTCTGAAACAGCAATAATGATCATGGCTTGATCTATCATTCTCCACTGGTAGCGATCCTCCACTGGCCAGCGAATACTATTGGAGCAGACGAGTTCACCAAGCTATTATCTCCCATTAAAAAAATAAGTTACAATTTACTTTGTCAGTTAGTCGAGATATCATCTGTGATAACAAATAAATAAATAATATCCTAAGACAAGAACTTGTGTTATGGGTACTAGACAACTGATATACTTTTTATTGTTAATACATACATAATATACATGGAAAACATCCAGATACAAACAATCATACTCATTAATACAAATGTTTGTACCGTGACAGGAGTCGAAGCCGCACCATCAGAAGTGAAACGGTATGCTAAACCGCTAGACCACCGAGGTCGTCGTTATACAAATAATGGATGGTAGGATGATGGGATAAGGAAGAAGCTGATGATGATGATGGACGCTCACACAACATATTGGCCCGACCACTCAATAATGTTTAGCAGATCATAATTGCAGATGATTTAACATATGATAGAATGTCTTTATACCTAGTTTTTTTGCTCAAAATAGTAAGCCATAGCTAGAAATCCCATTCAGTTGTCTTCTCAATGTCCATCTCGGATAGTTTCTGTTGTAGCAGCATTGCTGACATGTCATCTGAAATTATATAAAATTAGGTTAATATACATATCCGCGCTGGTATGACTCGGGAATAATCCCGTCATTGAAATTATATTAAACTAGCTGTTCTCGCGACTTCGTCCGCGTGGAATTTAACTTTATTTTTCTTACTCCTTACCACATCAGCTATCTGCCAAAAACGTCCCGTCAAAATCGGTCCAGCCATTTCAGAGATTAGCCGGCACAAATAGACAAAAATTGTTATTTTCGTGAATGTACCGTATTTATATTCATATGCATGTGCATATTATGGCAGTTTACCCTAAGCGTCTAACTTTATATATATAGAGATATATATATTAAAAAAAAAGTGAAATGTACTAACTTGGGTCAGGCTTGATGGGTTTTATTCGGGAGATGAGCCCAGGCAAGTAATCAGTCTTTCGGATTTGCTTGAAGAAGCAGTGGTTTAGTAGTTGAGATGCTGTCGGCCGTTTTTCTGGATCCCTAAATAGAAGAATAGAATAGAATAAATATTGACTGAAGTTTAAATAAATAGCTCTGGACAATTAACACAGCGCCATCTAGTCCCACGGTAAGCAGAGCACTAGACAAATGATATAAATATATAAATACTTTTTTTTTGTAAATACATATAATATACATAGAAAACACCTAGAGCGATACAATCATACTCATGAATACAAATATATGTACAGTGCGAGGAATTGTATCCGCGACCATCGGAAGTAAAGCGGTGTCCTAAACCGGTAGACCATCAAGGCCCTTCTTTATATTTCTTTAATGACCACTATAATTGGTACAAAAGGTGGGTGCTATAGCATTCTCACCTATTCAATCTTTGGGATGGAACACTTGAATGCGGCTAAAATAATTACAATAACATCATCATCATCATCATCATCTGCTTCTTCCTTATCCCATTTATTTGGGGTCGGCGTAATATGTTTTTCGCTTCCATTCATCCCTGTTCGCAGTCATCTCGTTATTTACTTCCTTTCTTACCATATTATATATATTCTTATCTTTCACACAGTCCATTCATCTCTTTTTCGGCCTTCCTCTGCCCTTATAACCATCCACATTCATATGTAACACCTTTCTTAAAATATTATCCTCGTTCCTACGCATTACATGTCCATACCATGATAGACGATTACTCTTCAACCTCTCTGACACCGGTGCCACTTTCATACTTCCTTAATTACAATAACAACATACACCTAAATACGTACATATATTAATAGAATTGACCTACTTTTTAATACAATAAATACACTAATGTATATAATATTTAAGTGTATGTAACACTTAAATCTTATATATAAAATTCTCGTGTCACAGTTTTCGTTCCCATACTACTCCGAAACGGCTTGGCCGATTCTCATGAAATTTTGTGAGCGTATTGAGTAGGTCTGAGAATTGGCCAACATCATCCCCCTAAATGTTAGGGGTAGTCCACCCCTAAATTTTATTTTTTATTTTTTAGACAAAGTTTTTAGTTTCAATTTTTTTATGATACAACATTTGCCGGGACAGCTAGTATTATATATAAATACATATATAAAACCTGTATATATATATATATATGAGCATGAATGAAACTCTTTATTGTTCCTCTCACATAAAATACAGTTAGATAGATAGATAGTTAATTTCTTTATTCACCAACCTTGATCAGTTACATACACAATTATGTATAAAATGATAATAAACAAGATAAAGAGGTAACAACGGGTAGCCTTATCGCTAAAATGCGAGCAAAACCTTAAATGGACCTAAGGTGAGAAGTGATTAAATTTGAGTCTAGTAGAGATAGAGTACATATTTATAATTAAGAAGATGAATACTACCAATACTGATACCATGTTACTGCTTACCAGTTCTATTTTTAAGCTTGAAAGATGAGCATAGATATTTTTTTATCTATCTAAATAAGGTGTTACAGAACTCTTTAGAGTTGTTAGAATGAATTACTTTTTTATATTTATTTGACATGTGTTTAAAAATGAATTTATCAAGTTGTATATTGTTTTGCCTTTGTACCATACTATACCATTCATTATAAAAATAAATAATTTTCTATATGTAGTTTTGTTTCGCCATCCTGATACCTAATCCTTCACATAAGGTGTACCTTTGTAAAGCTAGATCGCTGAGGTGGTGGAACGTTTCGGAGAGCTTCCTGGCGGCGTACAGCTGGCGGGCGCGTGGGATTTCACTATCACCAACACCACTGTCAGTATTGTACATACCTGGGGTACAACAAGACATTGTAATCTTAACAAAATGAAATCATTTTAATCAATCAAATCAAAATAATTTAATCAAACAAATAAAAAAAGAAAAATTAATGATAAATATGTCGAGAACAGGAGGTCGACAGGTTCTTTGTGAATAAAGATATCTTAAGATTGGAGACTGTTCCACCTTCCCTGAAGAGTAAGTTGATCAAACTTGGAAGGTGGAGCAGTTGAGCAGATAGGTCCTAAGTGAATAAATCATTTCAACTTTGATGGTGACTGGTACTGATTCTTCATGTCGCCGTCGTCGAGGCTGTGTTCAGGAAAGGTGGAGCAGTTGAGCAGATAGGTCCTATGAGAATAAATAATTTTAAGTTTGATCGTGAATAGTACATACTCTTCATCTCGCAGTCGTCGAGGGTGTGTTCAGGAAAGGAGCAGTTGCGCAGAAAGGTCATATGTGAATAAACTTCATCTTTGATGGTGAATGGTACCTACTCTTCATTTCGCCGTCGTCGAGGCAGGGTTCAGGGAAGGTGGAGCAGTTGCGCAGAAAGGTCATATGTGAATAAACTTCATCTTTGATGGTGAATGGTACCTACTCTTCATTTCGCCGTCGTCGAGGCAGGGTTCAGGGAAGGTGGAGCAGTCGAGCAGCTGCGGGCGGCAGCCGCGCACCTTCTCCGTGAACATGAGCGTGGTGGGCACCTCCGCGAATGGCACTGCACCATTGGCCAGCTCGCAGCTTAGCACGCCCACCGAATACACGTCCGAACGGTCGTCGTACCCTTTCAAATTCTGTAAATTTTTATTTATTTTATAGGGATTAGTTATTTTTTAGTACCCTTCCGCGAATAGAGTTGGATGGAGTATGTATTGAGTATAGTGACAGTGTCAAAAATCTCGGCATCCACTTTGACAGAACATTGTCATGGTCAGTTCAAATGGCTGAGGTTAGTCGGAAAATTTTCATGGCCGCAGGCTCACTCAGAAGATTGGGTAATTTCCTGCCCATTGACACCAAAATTTCGCTTGCACACACCTTACTTCTTCCTATCCTCGATTATGCCGATACCTGCTACCTAGATCTCACCGAAGTCCAATTAAATAAACTTGAGCGCCTTCAAAATATTTGTATTAGGTTTATATTTGGACTACGCAAATATGACCATGTCTCTCAGTTTCGTTCACAGCTCAAGTGGCTCCCTATACGTCTACGCCGGGACTGGCATATCCTCTCTCTTCTTTATTCAATTCTTTTTAACCCTGCAACTCCTTATTATCTCAAAGAAAAATTTGTATTTCTCGGTGAGGCACAAAATCATGGCTTACGCAGTGCAACAAACCTATGTCTTAAAACTCCTTCCCATACTTCCTCCTTCTACACCAATTCTTTCGCTGTGTACGCCGTGCGACTGTGGAACTCACTACCATCCTCCATACGTAGCGCTCAATCATCAGCTATTTTTAAAAATGCTGTAAAATCACACTATCTCTCTCATTAAATTGTCTTTCTACTATCCTTTCCTTTCTTCTAAATTGTCTCTTTCTTATTTGCACATTGCTTAGTTACTGTGTATTATTACTAATTTACTTTTTAAATTTTATATTTATATTTATATTATGTATAATGTATGTATATTTATTTATGTGTATATATATATATATATATATATATGGATATATATGACATATTACTATTATTATTCATGTCCATTCATTCTATCTTGCGCCATCCACCACCTTCTGTCTTTTCTCCTCTACCCAAAGGTTGTCTGGAAGAAATCGCTTTAGCGATAAGACCGCCTTTTGTGCCTAGCCTACCTTCCTGTACATTATGAATATTGTTTTTTCTTTGGATTGTTTTTAAGGTGCAATAAAGAGTTATAAATAAATAAATAAAATTAGTTATTTTTTTTATGGATGATAATGGAATGGTGCACCTGCCTGCGCTAACGGTTTACGCTGGCGGGGCACCAGTGGAGGGTGATAAGATGAACATGAGATCAGGTCAGTTAGCCCATCGTGATAAATTCACCAAGAATTTATCACGATGGTTTCCAGGGGGAATCGCGTGGAGGTCAACCTGACATGGTGCATTGCTAGTAATGGGTTATAAAGTCTACATTACTAACAATCACCTTTCCCCCACGGTGTAGCAGTTTTTTTTATGGATGATAATGGTATGGTGTACCCGCCTGCGCTAACGGTTTACGCTGGCGGGGCAGCAATGGAGGATGATCAGATGAACATGAGGTCAGGTTAGTTAGCCCATCGTGATATATTTACCAGAAATGTATCACGATGGTTTCCAGGGGGAACCGAGTGGAGGTCAACCTGACATGGTACATTGCTAGTAATGGGGTCATGAGTCCACATTACTAACAATTCCCTTCCCCCCGGTGTAGCAGTTGTGTAACTTCCATTGGAACAGAGTATACCTGTTCTAGGAGTTCTGGGCTGAGCCACATGAGGTTGGCGTTGTCGAGGTCGGGCGGGGGCAGGCTGTGAAGCTGCTTCTGTTTGCGGCCGCGCACCACCATGCTGACGGCGCTGCGGAGCCCCGACAGACGCACGCTGCCGTTCGCACCCACCAGCACGTGACTCGCGCGTACGCTTCTGCATATACACATTGAAATATGTAATGTCTCGTATCCTGTAATTTCACTGTCGATTCTTCACTCTACTATCATAGACAACTTTTTAGAGTCTACTTCTCCTATCAACATAGCAGGATTTTATTGCTTTATCAATACAATCAACTGCTAATATTTATCCATTGCTAGTAAGGAAGGAACTCTTAGCAAGAGTTCGTTTTTGCCACATTTTTTCTTGCGCATCATATCTTCATGTTGTAACGAGACATATTATGTAGCTATTGTCAGAACATCTCGCACTGATGTTGGATGAGAAAGTTATTCCATAATTCCATAAGGACGGCCTCGGTGGTCTAGCGGTTTAGCACACCACTTTACTACCGATGGTCCCGAGTTTGATTCCTCGCATGGTGCAAACATTTGTATTCATGAGTATTATTGTTTGTATCAATCTGAGTGTCTCTATGTATATTATGTATATAAATACAAAAAAAAGTATCTATATAAATGAGTTGTCTAGTATCCCTAACACAAGCTCTGTTTAACTTGGGACTAAATGGCGCTGTGTTAATTGTCCAGGGATATTATTGTTATTATTTATTCTTACCTGTGGATATACAATTGTTTGTGCAAATACTGCAAAGCTAACAGTACATCTCTCAACACAATTGCACAGGCCAGCTCCGGCAGACCCTCATGGTAGTATCGGTCCAGGATATCACGACAGGAACCAAATGTCATCAATGGAGACACCACATACAGTTCACTGCCATGAACAAACGATGTCAGGTAAGGAAGGATGTTGGGGTGCTGCAGGGCTTTCCTGGTGAGTATATCTTGCTGAAATTAAAATTATAATTCAAATATAGAAGCACTACTATTCTTTACATAATACTTCAGAAAAATTCATTTCTAAATTGCTTAGATCCAACAGAAAAAATGCATTAAGATTCAAGAAATAGTCTTTTTGTCATAAGAATGTTTTTTATAACATCCATCATAAGGGAGATGGTGTAACTATTTAATATATAATTAATAGTTAAACATTTGAAGAATGAAACTCTATATAATCAGTAATAATATAATAAAAACAATCTACCACTTGAGTTTCTAGTGAGTTCTTATTATCTGACGTAGGTAGGACTCAAGGAGCAAAACACTGATTTTCAGATGTCCTCGAGGGTGAATAATGTACTTTTATTTTATTTTATAAACTAAACTGAACTGAATGAAATAATGTGAAATAAATAAATAATAGGAACATAAACAATAAGGAACTTGGAAAGTAGGAATTACAGTTAGAGTAGTAGCATGAGAAGCAGAAAGGTTCAATATGAATAAATGATTTTAATTTTCTACTAATATGATTAATTACAGATGGTTAACGTACTACATCAGCATTGAACAAATCAGTATTCTTATTACTCTCCAAATTTGACCTCTCAAAATCCAATTGCAATATAAATTTCAAATCAATTCAATTTCTTACTGTACTTTTGAAATATTTAGACTAAACCATCTGTTATTTATCTAGAAATATGGAATTAGAATGTTGATAATATACAAGTAAAGATTATGAAGCAGTGAGAAGAGGCAATAGTTACTGAAGTTAGTATCTATAATAGAAGGCAAGGTAGTCAGTTCGTTACGTTATTTTGTTAAAACATTTTGAAGTAAAGTTTATTTAGTCAAGATAGTTTATGCGTGTCACTTAATCATGTATATATGACGAAATTTGCTATAAAAGAAACCTTAATCATCTAATAAATATTTTTTTTAATGAATTATAATGTAATGGTCGCCCCGTCTGTGCTAATGGTTCACTCTGGCCTGTGGAGGCTGATAAAATGAGGTCAGATCATCATGACAAATTCACTAGGTGTTTAACACAATGGTTTTCAGGGGAAGCGCGTGGAGATCAACCTGACATGGTACATTGCTAAGCAAAGAGGGTAATGGTGTCTTTGCTGTTCACATTATTAACAATCGCCTTTGATAGTTGGCTGCTCCCTTCTAAAAGGGTACAATACCTATTTGTATTGATGTCAACTCTAGAGATATGGTACATTGCAAGCTATGAGATATTTTGTTACTTACTTGTATCAAGTTGGGATTCTCTTTAGTTTTGTCCACAAAATATCTTTTAACGGCCACATTTTGGTTGCTGGGCCTGTACAATGCGGAGTATACGACCGCAACTCCTCCACAGCACTCTGTTATGATGGAAGTCAGCTGGTAATCATGGATGTCCGGATTAAACATCTCAATATTACTATTAACAAATTACTTTAATTTTTACTACTGTATTGGTAGTGATATCTGTCAATTATAAGGACATGGCGTAAGAGAAATTGTTATTCTAAATATAAGGGAATACTATAAGTTCATTTATTATTAAACAAACAAAATAAATTAAACAAAATATAGGTGCGTAAAAATTATAAATGACAGTTCGCAATTGAGTTTGACAGTGACATTAATAGTCAATATGTCAACGTTAAAATGACCACTTTTAATCATTCTGCTAAAATTAAATAATTAATCAATTTTTCTAAATATATTTACTAAAATTCACAATTTGTAGATTTTATCTGAATCTTTTTAAAATAGATGTATTATTAGAATTAGTAACTACGTGTATTCTAAAGAACTAATCATTACTAGATACATAGAAATTACGACACATATTAGTCATCCTCACCTCCCTAGGGGGGTGAAGATTGGGCCTTCGGGGCGAACCCCTTTTCCCCGGTATTAACTCCGTTGGTAACCACCCCCGAGTGACTAACAGGAATACAATTAAAGTACATGCAACCTTAATAATACCTATATCTTAAGAAGTAGTGTCATACTTAGAGACTTATTTTTTTTTTAAATATGATATCAACATGTAGTTATCGTAAAGTTTAGATGGTGGTATTAATGTCTATATTTATACACAAACTTGTTTCCTGTCAGCTCTGTTCGTACCCTCGTACGATGCAACTGCTTCCCATAATTCATACATATATAAATTTAGGTGTGCACTTGGCACAAATAAATCTGAAAGACGACAGAAGACATACCCTCAATCCTCTTGGAGAATATCTTAGTAATGTACATTAGTTGGTTATATCTTTATATTTCCAAAACAAAACATAAAGGTTGAAAAGGGACTCTTATGATGCAACTGTGTTCATAGGTAGACTGAAAGATTATGCCAGGAGTGAATTGAATTTGATTATTCCATCCACTTTTGATGATTACAATTCATCTATTTAGTTTTTTAGTCTGTGGTTTTAATTTTTTAAAGGCATGATAATGCGAGTGCATTAAGCCTAAGCTACCGGTATACGTTGGTGGCGTACCAGTGGTGGATTATACTATGAGTATAGCCAATCGTGGCAAATTCACTAGAAATTTAACATGATAATGTATAATGGAGTTAATAATGCACATTATTATAATAATAATAATTTATTCAGAATAGTATAACACAGAGTGAAAAAGTCAGTTAGCCAATCGTGGCAAATTCACTAGGAATTTAACATGATAATTTATGCTAACAATGGAGATAATAATGCTCATTATTATAATAATAATAATTTATTCAGAATAGTATAACACAGAGTGAAAAGGTCAGTTAGCCAATCGTGGCAAATTCACTAGGAATTTAACATGATAATTTATGCTAGCAATGGAGTTAATAATCCACATTATAATAATAATAATAATTTATTCAGAATAGTATAACACAGAGTGAAAATATAGAAAATTTTTCCAGCTAATATCGCGATATGAGCTGAATGGGCTTCCACTCAGCTGGTGCCGCAGTGTGTCACTGCAGACTTGATTTTCATTACTAACAACCCCCATGTTCCTTTTGTGACTGTATTTTAGAAATGGTTGTTAGTATCGATATTAAATTGTCTATGATATATTTATGATTACATTATTTTAATCAATTAGGATTTTGTATAGCAGGAAATATAAATGCACGATTTTTGTTACTTTTTTTTTATACCACTTAGGTGGCAAACCAGCATACGGCTCATTTGATGGTAAACGGTTACCGTAGCCTATGGACGCCTGAAACACCAGGGGTGTGACATGCGCCTTGCCGACCCTTAAGAAACCTTAATATACCCTTCTTGAAAAACCCCATGCTGTAGTCTCTCGAGAAAACCTCGGCAGGTAGTTCATTCCACAATCTAAGAGTACGCGGGAGGAAGCTCCTCCTTACTACTAAATCGTTGTTTTCTTTAATAACATTTTCAATTTTATACGTCATCTCCACTTTGGGTTTTTCTAGAAACTTTTTGCCACGCACAACAACATTGTGGAATCTCTTAAAGGATTTATTATAGTACCCATTTCGATATCGTATCGACTCGGAAATACCTTTCGAGCCTACAAAATATTAAAACCCACAGGAAAAATGCTTATTCCTACTTAAAAGGATGGCAATGCACTGCGATATTCAAACCTTTAAGATAGGAGCTTATTCCTACTTAAAAAGCCGGCAACGCACTTGCAATTCCCCTTGTGTTATGGGTGCTCATGGGCGGCGGTAATCACTTACCACAGAAAGAATCATACTCATGAATACAAATGTTTGTGCCGTGCGAGGAATTGAACCCGCGACCATCGGTAGTAAGTGTGTGCTAAACCGCTAGACCGCTAGGTCTATGTGTGTATTTACAAAAAATATATCTCTGTCTTTGTATCAGTTGTCTAGTACCCATAACACAAGTTCTAGCTACCATACTTGGGAGTAAATGTGATGGCTGTGTGAATTGTAAAAAAAATGCACTTTGTTGATGATTGTGAGATTCACTGGTGGGCAATTTTACTAGGTATTAAACATAACGATTCCCAAGGAAGGTCGAACCGCGTGGAGGTCGAACTGCAATGTTATATGTTTAGTAAAGGGGCCAATCAGTAAATCAGAGTCGGCAGGTTACATGATTCATCATTTAAAATCAAATGGGTCTTTCACTTCTTGTGCATTTTTATGGATATTAATGGAATGGTGCACCTGTCTGCGTTAACGGTTTACACTGGCGGGGCACCAGTGGAGGATAAGATTAGCATGAGCTCAGGTCCGTTAGCCCATTGTTGTAAATTCACCATAAATTTATCACGATGGTTTCCAGGGGATCCACGTAGAGGTCAATCTGACATGGTACATTGCTGGGAGTGGGGTTATTAGTCCAAATTACTAACAATTCCCTTCCGCTGCGTCTTGGGCATTGGGACCATAAGGTACAAAAAATTGAATGGGATCAAATTCAAATTCAAAATATCTTTATTCATGTAGGTCTATTACAGACTCTTATGATATGTCAAATCTACCGTCAGTTCGGAATGATTTCGAGATGAGAAGAACTGACAAGAAACTCAGCTCGTATTTTTTTTTTATAGTTGTACATATTTGCAATAATACTATTTCATTTAAATTCAAATTTGGAAGAATAGAGTGACCACCAGCATATGTTATAAAAAAAAAAACAAAAAATCTAATCAGTGTCCGCAACCTGAACAGACCAGTCCCCACAAGCATTATTTTCAGTCCCCCCTTCCCACAGCTACAGGTGGTTTAGTTTATTATCACATTATTACAGTGACTATTGACTCATTTGGAATGTTTTCTTAATAAACATTAAAGAAATTATTGACATTTCAACATCTGGTACAGAATCACTTGGAATGACTTAAATAAACATGTGCGGGGGACATAACTACTTTCGGTGATAGTGCTGATCGGGCCGCCGTCCGCCCAAAAATCTCAGCCATACCTACGGAGCGGGCGGCATGCAAAAATTTACAATCCACTCAATAAAAAATCGTAATTCCTATATATATACCGGCAGCGACCGCATCTCGAATACGCTTTATACGATGTACTCACTTCTATATAAAACCGGGGAGAGAGCCAAATTCTAAATATAAAGGTGGCCGACGTAAACCGAAGGTGGCCGAATGCGCCCGCCCGCCTCAGTCCATCGCTAGCTACGGCTTCGACATTCCCAAAATCAACGCAAACGAACGCGCGGTAATCAAACGTTCACTTGGTAAGGGCACACCGTAAACGGTAATCGGCAATTGGGAAAAACCAAATTCGGAACGCGCCCGTGAAATTGAAGTGAATTCGAAATTCAAAATCGTGGAAAGTGACAGTGTGTGGTGTTCGTTATTTGAACGTTCCGTACCGCGTGCAGGTAATGTAGAAAATTAGTTTATGCTTCCGCGGTTTTCCCGTGCTTTTTTTATCTGTAGCGGATTAAATGGTATGTCAACTGGAGCGAAAATGGTCTGATAAGCACGTGCTGGAAGCTAGAGTATTGAGTTTCAATATGTCCGCCTGTTCCAGAATAATTTCGCCTTTCCCCACTACTAATTTCTATAACAATTTTCTTTTAATATCTACTCTACTACTACCGCTGAAAGTTTTTCTAACCTCAATGATAAAACGGCCAGTAACAATTGAAGTACTTTCTAAATACAATAATTACTTGCGTAGGTACTTACTTCCAGTTCAACCAGGATGTTAGAGATTATAACGCATTATTTTTGTATGTTGGTACCGCATTGCGTCAATTTTTAGGTTACTTGCAAGCCGGTAGTCTAGACATTGCGGAGGCTGGATGTTATTGATTTTAGTGTCTCGCAACATCTCTTTAGCGTAATATTCTACATCCGATATCTTTCATTAAACCGTGCCACGTAAGAAAGCGTCCCCCTATCATCTAACGGACGTCCTTCGGAAAGGTATTTAGAACATTTATTTGTATTTTGTGTCTATTTCTAAATGTTGAAAGTCCGTAGGCGTTAACCATAGATTACATTTGTTGAAAAATAAAACAATCTTTGTTTATGATACATATTCAACTGTCGTATCGTAAAATACGAAAATGTGGGTGGTAGCACTGATCAAATAATCAACACGTTATTTTCAAAAGTATAATCATCCCTTTGAGAAATTTTGAAATAACATAAACAATTTTTATTGAAGTATGAATACATTTGATTTTACTTATTCTTAATTTATAACTGGCATGATGGTTTTTTAAAATTAGAAAATAAATACGCGGGAGAATTATTTTTAAAATAGGAATAGATGTAACCATAAGATTGGTAATTTATGGCGGTAAATAATCATAAACAAACATGCTTTAGTCTGACCTGTTTTTTTTATATGTCTGGCAAATAATGTGTTATATAAGGCTTTTAAAACATAGTCCATGTTTTAAAATAGAAAAAAATATATTTTCTCTTTACTTATTAGAGTAATTTCGCTAATCAATTATTTTTGTAAAACATTCGTCTTAATTTAAATACTTTTTCATACATATTAATTTTTTATTGTTAGGACAATTCATACAGCGCCATCTAGTCCCAAGTTAAGCAGAGCTTGGGTACTGGACAACTGATGTAA